GGCCAAGTGTGGACGTAGCCTAAATAATAGTTTAGGAGGTCGAAAATTTTGCCATGTTTCAAGCAGTGAGCATGACTGAATTATACAAAATAAGAGATTTGTTTAAAATTAAGCGCTTTACAAACAAAAAGTTTCCTAAAATTTTCTTAGAAATATTTTTTCTTGCGGGGTTCATACACATTTTTACTATTTTAAGACTTTTCCGCAGTTTTCAAGAACATTTTCATGATGTAATGTTTCATGTTCAATGTCTACATATACATGGTAAATAATAAGAAAAACAACGTTCAATTTTATTACAGCATTTTTTTCATGCAACAATCTATTTTGTTAAAAAACTGTATTTTAAAATTTATTTTGATAATGCTTAAATCGCACTAACAATGTGAGAGCAAGCTTTTGGCTAAGGACAGAAAAGAAGTAAAGACAACCTATATTCAAGTTAGGGCTGCACAGTAGGCTATCGTTTCAGCATCGATCGCAATGTGTGCATCCACAATAGTCATTACCATTTTCATTAAACCCTTCACTTGCTTCCAACATTTATGATTTTTTTTAAATGAAAACAAAAATAACATAATTCAATAACTCCTAGTATTGAATCAAGTGAAGTGTGAGTAAATATTAGTAAGTACATTTTAATCTTTGAGTAAACTGTCCCTTTAAGACCTGTGACTGTGTGATCATTTTAATATTTCAAATTTTAAAACATGCGATCACAAGACATTTTTGGTAATTTTAATAAAAATTAAATACAATGTACAATGAAGACTATGCAGTGTTGATTATTCATTATCTGTACCTGAATAGTGAATACCTGAAAACTATAATTCACTTTTATCTTTACTATATTTTATTTACCTATGCTTGTAATTTATTTGTTATATATTATTCGAGATTTACTCCCCTACAAAATTCCCCTAATCAATCCAAATAAACCTGTTAAATCATCTAGTGAAATTGTATTCACATCTCAATATATATATATATATATATATATATATATATATATATATATATATATATATATATATATCACAGAAATACAAAATATGGTAATGTCAGATTTTTCCAATATCGAGTAATATATTATTGGGAGGCCATGATCGTAAGGGCCAATTGAGGGACTTTGGCCAGGACACCAGGGTTACTCCCCTACTCATTACGAGAAGTGCCATGAGATTTTTAATGACCACAAAGAGTCAGGTCCTCAGTTTAACATCGCATCCGAAAGACGTAGCCCTAATACAAGTATACAGATATTTGTTAAACTTAATTCCATAACTTTTCCAAAACCTTTTCAGGCCTGGAAAATGCCATGTCAATATTCTATGACGTTTCCAGGTTTTCCATGACCGTATGAACCCTGTATATAAAGTCATTAGTCGCCATGCAGGCTATAATCCACAGAGACCTTGTTGACTGAAAGCATCTGGTTTTCTTAATTTAAAAATAAAAGACAGCATCCAATAATACAAAAGTGCAATTGTGATAAAAGCTATTTTCAGCAAGATAGGAAAGTTTGATAATAGCAGGGAAAGGTGAAGTTTAGGTCACTGATAAAACTGTCAATGACTGTATAGGGAACAAATACACAGCATTAGATTACTTTTCAAGGATTACAATTAACCATATACTGACACCAGAGGCTTGGATTATGAAAGAGTAATAAAAAATGGTCAAAAATATGCAAAAGACAGAGATATTTATTTTAATCTTATAATGTTAGCAGACAGAAAAAAAATTGACCAAAAAAACAAACAACAAACAAAACAAAAAAACATTAAAAATAAAATGTATTATAGTCCCGGACTACCCAACTGGAAAAAAAAAAATAAAAATAAAAAAAACAGTTAACAAAAACCTAAACTGGTTGGCTGGTTTTAGCTGGTTAACCAGCCTGGTTTTAGAGGGGGTTTGGTCATTTCCAGCCTGGTCTTAGTTGGTCAGGCTGAAAAAATGACCAGTCAAAACCAGCTTGACCAGCATGGTTTTTGCTGCCTAGGCTGGTTAAGCTGGTTTTAACTGGACATCTCCCAGACCAAAACTGCTTTAAAACCACTCTGGTCAACCAGCTAAAACCAACCAACCAACCAGTCTAGGCTGGTTTAAGCTGGGGTTTTTTCAGCAGGGATTCTGTTCCTAATTGTACTTTGTACAAAATAACTTTTTAATTTCTGTAAAAAAATGTCAACTATATTTCTAATTCCAGCTGCAAGAGTTTAAAATATTTGTCTATATCAATGACTGTAAAAAATATGGACGACGCGACAGCCCCTTTTGCTATTGAACGCCTTGAGGGCAAAACGCCTGCTTGACGGGCACAAACTGTCGCAAAAGACTGCTGAAATTGGAGCCAGACATGCGCAGAAGGACTGTCTGATGGAGCCAGAGGAGGAGCCGCGATAATGAGCGGAGTCGAGCTTCCAACCAAACGCTTTATGTAAAATCAACCACGCCCCCCGAACTTCTCACTCGACTGCCGGTGTCTGCACTATAACAAACGCTCACTGATGTAAATAGAAGCACTTACATTAAAAAAACACAATAATATACGGTTTAAAAACGGTGTGATGTAAGCTGTTAAACTTTAATAAAAGCAATACATGGTGGACTGCAGAAATAAACGATCTTTTATACACTCTAGCCTGAATATGAGCACAAATAATATATTCTCTTATTGTTATATTTGTTGTTGGTATTTGTTATCTTCATAGGGGTAGAAATAACACTTGTAAAATATGAACAATAACATATAAACAACACGTACATTTTTAGAAAGGTTTTTATTTTTAATTAGCCATCAACAGAACCCAAAATATAGCCTACACACCATAACGATTTACCATGCGGGAACAATCGTGCGTTTATAAGATAAATACAGCAAGATTACTTAATATCAGGATATTTACACATCCCAACCCTGCAATTTGTCAATTTGTGCAAAAAAACTTTGCACTATTAATACAACGTCTATCTGCTGTAACATCACTAGTATATTGTTTATTCATTTTCGCTTGAATTGTTTATTTATTTAATTTTTTTGCCTCCGTTTTCATTTGGTTTATTCGATGCCTTTATTATATCTGGCAACGAGGAATTTACATTCTTTTTAATGTTAGCTGGAGTGTTCAAATAAAACGCCAACAGTAAATGATGTAAATAAATAATATCTAACATTTACAGCTCTATTAGGTTATATAAGATTCGATTTCAAGAACCTTATAATGATTTATAACAGCACATTCAGTAGATCACTTAATAACATGCCAAAACTTAAAATGCAGAGACGTCCTATAAAGCAAGTTCAAATAACCTTACAGGAGATCAAAGTGGAGATTATTATTTAAACACAAAGAGAATTACTGCTAACGATCTCCTGTATACCCCGTACTTAAATGGGTTTATTTTATTGTGCAGTTTTATTGTCATTTTCGTATTTATTATTATTATTATTTAATACTTGTGCAATCGATACAGGTTTATTGTTATTTATTTTGTCCTTTATTTAAATAATTGCTATGCTGTTTGCATCTTTATTCAAAGGTTAAACTCAGTGATACACTTTGCGTTCACATAGTAGCATGCGTTTGTTGTTATATCAACAAAAATGGGTGTAATAACGTTAACAAATGTGAGGGTTTTATATAATGAAGATTCAATCGCGCCAGCTCCAGGCATCAGCGCATAACCTAGTCGCGCGCGGCGTCGCGGGCTGATTCCGGCTCGCATGCGGCAGCACCTGCTCGCTCGCCCGCCGCATCTGGCTCAATTGACTCAGGCTGGAATCGGGCAGTGAGTCCAGGCATCCGGAGTAGGTCCAGCAGAGGTAGTCAGTCTGAGGGGTAAGTCTCCGCCAGGCAAGAACTGGCCCCAGTGTATTTTGCTATCTGGGTGGCTAGGCGTTTATTAGCAAACTAATAAAGCCCGAAAAAAGCTCTGACCTTAGCGAATAAACAGTGTTCCACCAGATCATGTATGTCAGAAACTGTAGTTTACTGCTGAACTCATTTTGTCATAGTAAAATATCACAGAAATCGAATAATAACACTTCAGTCTTCTACCGAAGCTCAGACGCGCTGCTTTGAGAAACTGTCAATCACTGCTGTTAATCACGATGACACGCCCAGCATTAAATTACTGCTAAAAACAAACTGTTTACAAAAATGAGGATCTGCACCTATTTCAGCACAATAATCAGTGCCTTAATCGACCAGAACCATCTTTCGACACATTTTATTGCAAGTGTAATTAATTTTTTTATTTGGGCTCAAGTCTCCTTCATTAACACGGAGGAGGCGGGCTTTATGACTTGTACTGCAGCCAGCCCCCAGGGGGCGATCTAACGGCCGAGACCTTCACTCAAACGCAGGCTTGCGGCACACTTGGTCTATATCCATTAATCTGCACATTAAAAATCCTGTAAATAAGATTTTTCTGTATAAAACAAATAAACTGTAGACTAAATAATAAATATGGGCGTAATAATGATCAGTTTATCTTGTCAAAGCAGTCGTAAATGCAAAATCAGTTTTCAGTGAACTTTGCTTTAAAACAAACTGCATTAATTGTATCCGTCTGCATTTTTTTTGTTTGCATTATCTGACTAAGCAAAGATCTATCACATATATTTTGTAACATCTGTTATCTTTGTGTGTTTTTGCTAAAACACAACCCCACCCCCTCCCCTCAGAGGTTACAAGCTAAAGTAAATTATTATTGTTAAGATAAAGAGCAAATGTGTGTGTTTAAGTTATTGCAGCACTGATATGAATCTTTAGTATCTCATTATCCAATTATACTGACAGTCTTATGACCTGGCAATCGGGTAAATACAAATCCACTCTATGTCTTGTTTAAATGCATCTCTCTGCATATGTTTATCATGTTAATTTACATCACAGTGAACGTGTTATGGCTAGTATTTTTCGGTGATAGCATTGGAGAATTGTTATTTTAAACTGTGTTATATTGGATCAGGTAAAAGTGAGAAGTATATAAAAATTCTATGAATTTAATTGACTGTTGCACTTACAAAGGTAATATTTACCGCATAGGCAAAACCAACAACAATCAAATGAACACATTAAAAAGACTAGCAAAGTAGGCTTATGCAATTGGAAAATAACAATATATAGAAGAATAAGGAGGTTAACATTATATAATAATGTTTCAAAGCAGAGTGTCACCATGTTCATACTTCAATATTTCCTGATGGTACATAGTGAAATTAAGATGTAATAACTTAAATTTTCAGTTTTGTAAATACTATAGTACATAGCTTCTGAGGGAGTTAAATCTAACCAAATAATTGAATGCTATGAATAGTATTCATTTTCAAAAAACATTCCACTACAGCAAAACGTATCATACTGTGAAATTAACTACAGAATAATGTTCAGAACTTGTCTTTTTTCTCAAGGTCAATGTATTCCCCTGCAGGATGTTTTTGTTTTTTGGAGGCCTTGACAAGTCCATACACCAAGAGGATAACAGTGACGGCAGCAATAATAGAGAGACTGAAGAGGACATTAAGAGCAAGTTCAGCATCAGAAACAGACACTTCCAAACCCAAGAAGCTGATCGACAGTTCCTCAACAGGTGGAGGTATAGTAGTAATTCCTGTAAAAAAAAGAAGAAAATTATTTTTCAGATAGATAGATAGATAGATAGATAGATAGATAGATAGATAGATAGATAGATAGATGAGCATATAGATGGGTGATTAAACAGACAGACAGACTGACAGATGAATAAGATGATGGATTGAAGGAAGGATGATGGATGAATAGATTTATGAATGAATAAGCAGATAGATGGATGGTCAGAAATATGGATGGATTAACGGATGGATAGACAGACAGGAAGATAGATGAATGGATAGATGGATAGAAAGATGGATGGATGGATAGACAGAGAGACAGATGATAGATAGATAGATAGATAGATAGATAGATAGATAGATAGATAGATAGATAGATAGATAGATAGATAGATAGATAGATAGATAGATAGATGGAAAAATGGAATTATGGACAGACAGATAGGTAGACAGGCAAATGAATGAATGAATAAATGAATGAATGAATGAATGAATGAATGAATGAATGAATGAATGAATGAATGAATGAATGAATGAGCAGATAGATGGAATGTCAGAAAGATGGATGGATTGACAGATGGATAGAAAGACAGAAAGATAGATAAATGGATAGTTGAAAAGATGGTTTGATGGACAGATAGAGAGATGGATAGATGAACGGATGATGGATGGATGAGTGGATAGAGAGATGTATGGGTGGATGGAAGAATTCATGGATAGATAGATAGATAGATAGATAGATAGATAGATAGATAGATAGATAGATAGATAGATAGATAGATAGATAGATAGATAGATAGATAGACAGATATAGAGATGGATGAATGAGCAGATAGATGGATGGTCAGAAAGATAGATGGATGGATGAAAGATAGATACCCGGAGTGTCGTCTTCAGGTTCATGGACCTGACATTTATGTGGACGTTCTTCTGGGCTTATGAAGCCATTGCAGTTGATTATAGTAGCATAGTTCCAAACAGATTTCTTAGGAATACGTGGTAAATTGGGATCTGATCGATTGACATAAAAGAGGCCAAATCTATCATCAAAACCTGTTGCCCATTCCAGATTGTCCATTAATGTCCAGGCAGCGTAACCACGGATGTCCACACCATCCAGCATATATGCTAAAGAATAAAATTTATTCAAGAGTTAACTGAAAATGATAACTGAAAATGAATGCTGTCTTAAATTACATCTCAAAGGGGAAAAAAATCTTTACCTTTCAGGGCCTGATTGATATAGTTATCATAGTAGTGGATTCGGGGGATGTCATTCAAATTGACTGGCCCTCGTTCTGACACCCCGTTTTCTGTAATGTAAATAGTATGGTCTCCATATTCCTCCTTAATGAAATTCAGAATCTTTCGGAATCCCACAGGAGTTACTTTCAGCCAAAAGGATCCGGAATCTAGCCATGTACGATCCGTAACAGTTCCTACACCTCTGAAATAGAAGGCAGTATTGTAATACGAATGCTTGTAAACCAAGCAAAGTGTGCCAGAAACAGTTACAACTAAAATGTTACCTGTCTGCATCATAGTGCTGGAGATCCTTGTAGTCAAAATTATAGGCTAAAACAGTGGTGTAGTGGTTGAATCCAAAATAATCATGAGTACCTTTAATTCTTGCTACTTCTTCTGGGGTAAATTCTGGAAGCCTGTCAAATGTAAAATGAAAATGTTAAGTCATTTAGAAGCATCCAAAGTCTTGAGAAAAATAATATCCATATTTACCTTGATTTAGGTAGGCCAGCTGCCAGACTTCTTTCTCGAACAATATCCTTCATTAAATCACTGTAATCTCCATTGAACACTGGATGAGCAAACCAACCAAGCTGAAACTGTTTAGAGGGACAAAAAAGCAGTGGTACATTATCAAAAACTATAGAATACACAAGACGTGTAACTTGTATAGTTTTTCATAGGGAAGAATGTAACAGTCAATATGGCTGTTCTAGTGAAGAAAGCCTCGTCTTTTAGTAAAGGAGCCAATCATTGATCACAGGGCGCCTCCCTCATAGAATTGTCAGTCTATAGCACAGGTGTCAAAGCCAGTTCCTGGAGGGCTGCAGCTCTGCACAGTTTAGTTCCAACCCTGCCTCAACACACTTACCTGTAGGTTTCAAACATGCCTGAAGGACTCAACTAGTTTGATCAGGTGTGTTTAATTAAAGTTGAAACTTAACTGTGGAGAGCTGCAGCCCTTAAGGAATTGGCTTAGACACATGTGCTATAAACTGACAATTTACTGGGGGAGGGCCCTGGTCCAGACTTGTGTTTTAACGACAGTTTCTGCAGCTTCATTGTTAGCTTGTAAAGGGAGCCTCGTCTTTTAGTAAAGGAGCCAATAATTGATCACTATAGATCACAGGTGTCAAAGCTAGTTCCTGGAGGGCCGCAGCTCTGCACAGTTTAGTTCAAACCCTGCTTCAACACACATAAGCTGCAGTCACATTGTACTTTTCTCCCCATAGACTTCCATTAATACGCACGTTAATGCGTCAGACTGGAAATGCAAGCTCGTGCGACAAGTTTCGCAGTTCGCTGTGTTATAGAGTTCAAGCTTGGTGAACTCTGACCTGTGAAATCGCATCACTTCACTGTGTGAGACCAATCAAGGATAAAAACACGACCTCTGGACAGAAATGTAAAATATGGACCAATCTCTCGCTTTTTTAAGTATCTAATCATCTTGTTTAATCCCACCTTTTTTCACAGTGCCGTACGACAGAATTTCGCACGCTTAAACTCAAGTGTGACCGCAGCTTTACCGGTAGGTTTCAAACAAGCCTGAAGGACTTAAATAGTTTGATCAGGTGTGTTTAATTAGGATTGAAACTAAACTGTGCAGAGCTCCGGCCTTACAGGAACTAGCTTTGACACCTGTGCTATAGACTGACAATTCCCTGGAGCAGGGGACTGGCCAGACTCGTGCTTTGATGACTTGTGTTTCTGCAGCTTCATTGTTATGAACCTTCCTGGGGTCAACAAGTATGCTGGAATCAGCAAATACTTGCCTCAAAGATATAAGAAATGTAGGTAAAGCTTGAAATTTCTACTTTTAAAAAAAATGTAATCTTTATGAATTATACGCAAGGTAAAGTCTGTCCTATGTGACCTCATGAATTCCTGCTTCCACCATTCAAATGCAACTTGAACACCCACAAACATGTCACTGTCATTTTGGGAAAAGATTTGCCATCAGGATTAAGTTGCAGAAGAAGAAGCAATTGGATGAGGCATTATTCATGTATAACACATTCTTACAGTTGTAAATAGCTTGATTGAAAGATGATGTACGAGCGTGTCCTCCAGAAACTGATATAAAGGAGGTTGGTGTCGGGATCACATTCCTTTAAAGCGCGATTGCGTATTAGCTTGGGCAACCTGAATTTTTAAAATTTGATTTGAATGTTTAGAAATGAAGTTGTGAAGACAGTTGTTGTTGAATTTTATTGGTGATTACAAAAAGGAAATTTAATCATAAGGTTGACAAAGGGTTTTGGTGAGATGATGTTTCCCCGTTCAAGGAAATGATGCTTCCTCATTCAAGGCACTTGCAGTTGTATGTCCGAGAGGCATTTCATAAATGGCCAACGAGTGAAATGACTTAACTTTGGCATTACATATGTACATATTTAAAGACATATTCATGAAACGTTGATGTAGAAATTGCATAACAACAAAACTATACCTGAACCACACGCCTGGCAGCATCTACGTCTTCCTGTTTGTATGGATTTCTTGGTTCAGCCCAGTCAGAGTTTATAGTGATGCCAACAATCCCACCGTGCTTTGCACGATACTTATCATTATACAGATGCCAGGCCTCAGCATGAGCCTTAATAAGGTTGTGTGCCACAATATATGGCGCAGTGCCTGGTCTGAAAGTTATACCTAAACAGAACAGCCATTGCATTACTAACTATTAACAGTGATGAGCTAAGCATATTTTGTATGTGGAAAAGGTTTCTTTTTAATGAGAATTATACCTGGTGCTGCACTTCCATAGCCATGTCCAACCATTGCAACATTGTAGGGTTCATTTATAGTAATCCAAAACTCTACTTTGTCTCCTAGACTGTTAAATACAACATCAGCATAGTCTTTAAATCTATCAACAATAGTGTCATTCTCCCAGCCACCGACATCCTGGAGAGCTTGTGGCAGATCCCAGTGGTACAGAGTCACCTACCAGTTCAAGTTGATCAACAGACTGTTAGAAATGAGTGAAATATTTGTCTATATTTCTATTGTGTTATGAAATAGTTTACCTGTGGCTTGATATTGGCTGCCAAGAGAACATCTATCAGTCTGTGATAGTAGTTGAGCCCAGCCTCATTTATTTTTCTGTTTGTTCCATCTGGCAGAATTCTGGGCCATGAAATAGAAAATCGATAGTGGTTGACCCTCAGTGTTTTGAGATTATCGATATCCTCTTCGATCTTGTTGTAGCTGTCACAGGCAATGTCACCATTTTCATCTTGGGATATCTTTAAAGAAGTGTGTGCAAATTTGTCCCAAATGCTTAGGCCTTTTCCATCAGCTCTCCAGGCGCCCTCTATCTGCGGTGATGTAGCATTGCATACAATATTTTCTCTTTATCTCTGAGCAAGTACATGATAATGATTCTAAATACAAATCGAATTGTACCTGATATGCAGCGGTTGCTGTGCTCCATACAAATCCCTCTCGGAAATGTCCATATAGCATTTTTTCCTCCACGGGCATTGGAAAGCCATTATTTCTCATTATATCAAAGTAGAGGTGAGCTGAGCGCTTTGGGGTTCTTGGTCGACTTGAATGCTTAAAGTCCACATGGTGAAGTCCATAGCCAACATTGTAGCCATTTAGCCACTCAAAGGAGTCCATGAGAGAACTAGCAATGTATCCTTTAACACGTACTCCATCCAAATTGTGTGCTAAAGTGAGAGCAAATATAAACGATTTACAGTTTGTCAATATTATACAATATATCTCTGACCCTGGGACACAAAACCAGTCTTATGTTGCAGGGGTAAATATTTGGCAGTTGTGTACAAATCTCAAAAATGTATGTTTATGATTGGTTTACATGAACAATGCAACTATACCTTTAAGAGCCTCATCAACATAGGTCTTCAAGTAGAATATTCTATCAGTGTCATCTGTCGTAATGGCAGTGCCTGTAGCTACACCATTTTCCGTAATATAAATCTCAGGATTTCCATACTCTTCTTTCAACCAAATGAGAAGTCTCCTGAGTCCCCAAGCAACAGCTTTCTGCTCACTAACAGCTGTATTTTCAGAGCCATCTGCCTTGTCCTTCTCAATATCCTGGTCAGTCTGATAGGATTCGATATTAAGTCTGCTGGTCACATGGCGCACGACTTTGGTAGTGTATGTGTTAATGCAGAATACATCAGCTGTTCCTTGGATAAAGGCTTTTTCTTGGTCAGTAAAATGAGGTAAGCGGGATTCCTTCAAGCCTTGCAGTTCACTCTTGTTGCCAACTTGCCACTTCATGGCTTCAGGGTAGTCACCATTTTTAAATATGGGGTGTGCAAACCAACCTAGTTGGAACTGAAGGGCTCGGTCTGCAGCCACAACCTCTCGAGGGATGTTGACATCCAGGGGTTCTGCCCATTCAGCATTCAGACTAATGGATACCAGACCACCTTGAGATGCCCTGTATTTCTCATCATATGTGTGATAAGCTTGTGCATGAGCTTTCAGGAGGTTGTGTGCAACCCTGTATGGAGCATCTCCTGGTTGCTTCACGTTAGGTGGAATCTGACCCAGCCCATATCCCAACCATGCAATCGTCTGGGGTTCATTAAAGGTGATCCAAAACTTCACCCTATCTCCAAATGTTGCATAGCAGAAGTCACAATATTCATTGAATAAGCCAATCATTTCAGTGTTGTCCCAATGGATGTTCTGTAAAGCCTGCGGCAGGTCCCAATGGTAGAGAGTCACCATGGGTGTGATATTATTTGCTATGAGACCATCTATGAGCCTGTTGTAGTAATCCACCCCCTTCTGGTTAAGGGAAGATTTATAGCCATTTGGAAAGATCCGAGACCATGACAATGAGAATCTGTAAGTCTTCACTTTTAGGGCCCTCAACATGTGTAGATCCTCATCTACTTTATTGTAGCTATCACATGCAACATCGCCATTGGCATTGTTTGGGATATTACCAGGTTTCTGAGTGAAAGTATCCCAAACACTTGGTCCTTTTCCATCTGCATTCCAGCCACCTTCAACTTGATAAGCTGAAGATGAGACACCCCACTGAAATCCCTCTGAAAATGTTCCATAGTGATAAAGCTGCCTCTCAAATTTGGTCTGAGGTGAAAACTTTTCCCAAACAACCTTGGATTTTGAAGGCACTTGAGATGGAGGCAAACTAGGGAGTCTTCTACTTTCGACTTGATTTCCATGGATTTGCATCTTAGGGCTTGCTGCAGTCTCAGCAAATCCATTTCTCTCAATCACCTTTGAGTAATAGTATGCTGATGCTTTAGGGGTTCTTGGCCTGTCAGGATCATCAAAGTTCACATAGTGCAAACCAAACCGTTGAGTGTAACCTGGAGGACCCTCATATCCATCCATTAGAGACTGGACTGTAAACCTCTGAACGACAACATCATCCAAATGTACAGCTGTTTAGACACAAAAAAGATAGTTAATATAATTTAAATAGTAAACTTGATTTTATTTTTAATGCCATACCATCATATCTTGCAATTTTCATGGCAGGTTAAAACATGATAGTAAAGACCAGGGGCCTAATGTACAAAGACTTGCGTGGAAATCTTACTAAAACATTGCGTACGCACAAAGCTGTAAATGTGCGTACGCAGAAAAAAATTCAGATGTATGAAACACTGCGTACGCCGAATCTCACGCATATTCTTTTGTACATCTGAATGAACGTGAAACTGAGCGCAACATGCACGAGCACAAAACCCCTCCCTGCCTCCTCCCTCGTATGAATATGCTAATGACTCTTCTTTGGCAAAACCCAACGAAAAAGCAATGGCAAAAGCAAGCAAAAAGAGAAACTTTGAACAGAATGTGAATTGGAGGTGCTGCTTTCGGAGGTAGACCGGAGAAAAGCGGTGTTATTTGCAAGTTTGTTCTCCGGAATTAACAGCAAAAGAAAAAAATAGAGTGGGAGAGTTTAGCTGATGCGGTTAACTCAGTTGGGTCTGAACATTGGACTGAGTGAATTAAAAAAGAAATAGTGTGGTTTATATCTGTAAAATGTTGCAACGCCCTTAACAGTCTTGAGCATCTTTCTTCTTTTTTCCCCCGCTACATATCAGATTTTGCCTACTATTTATCACGAGAAAGACAAGTAGGAATCATCAATAAGTTTGTGCATCATATTTTATTTGCACATTTATTAAATGGAAATGTTTCTGATTTACGCATGGAAATTCATCTTCAGTGTTTTTATAGCAATGTGCGTGCAGTAGATAGCTCAGATTACATTGGGAAAACAGGCGACCGCTGCAAATTGTGCTTTAATGTTTAGCTGGTCAACTGTATGGTATGGAAACCTTATATACAGGAATTTAACACAACTGCCTCTAGGAGTCGCCAATGGAAATAAAACAGACACGCACAAAAAATGTGCGTACGCCAGCTATAAAGCTGGCGTGGAGCTGTGCACATTCCCACGTTCAGTTCATTGTTAGTAAATCCAAACGTGAGAGATTCTGAGCGTGAAACCTGGCGTACGCAAAGTTTTTGTGCGTACGCAGCGTTGATACATGAGGCCCCTGTTTTTTTACCTTTCATTCTTACCTTTCATTGCTTCATTAATGTAAGCTTTGAGATAGTCAACACGCAGAGTGTCATTGATCCCGTCACCAGTATACTCAGTTGGCATTCCATTTCCTGTGATATAGATGGGCACCTTTGTGATAGATGTGTACTCTAAAAAGATGTAATACAATAACCGCCGGAGCCCCCATGGAACAGACTGGATCTGGTCAGAAGATGTAGTGGGCCATGTAGGGTCAATATGAGCCTGGAAGTCCCCAACATTATCTGGCCCTGCATCACAGCTAGTCAAATTCTCACTAATCAGTCGGGATGTTTGGTGGTTTAGTCCGAAGAAATCAGCTGTGCCTTGAATTCTTTGTTTCTCAGCCTCGGTGAAGACAGGGAGTCTTGCCAGGTCTTGGTCACACAATTTTTTCTTTTTCTCAATTTGCTCCCTCAGCACCGCTGGATAATCTCCATCTACAAATATTGGATGAGCAAACCAGCCCAGCATGAAGTTTAGATAACGCTCAGCTGCTGCTACATCCTGATCACTTGAGGGATCCCTCGGCTCTGCCCAATCTGAGTTCAGAGCAATGCCCACTTTTCCACCATACAGTTTCCTGTATTTATCATTATAAATATGCCAGGCTTCAGCATGAGATTTCAGAATATTGTGCGTCACCTGTAAATACCAGAAAGAAATTGGCATTATGTACAAAAAATTATACAATATTTGGTACTTCCTTATACTGACATACACACCTTGTAAGAGGCAGATACTGGGTCTTTAATGCTTGGAGGATATACGCCTGTTCCATATCCCAAATTGCTCACTACCCAAGGACTGCCAAAGGTGACCCATGTTTTGACCCTGTCTCCATAACGAGAGAAGCAGAAGTCAGAAAACTCTTTGAAAGCTTCAACAATGGAGTCATTAATCCAGCCTCCTGATTCCTGTAGAGCTTGGGGAAGGTCCCAGTGATGCAGGGTAACAGTGGGCTCGATTCCTGATTGCAGGAGTGTATTAATCATCTTATCATAATAAGCAGCCCCCTTTTCAACAAAACTTTCTTTGCGTCCAGTGGGAAAAATGCGAGCCCAAGAAATTGAGAACTGATAATTTGGTGCCATCATGCCTCTAAGAAGATACACATCATAGTCCACCTTGTGATAACTATCACAGCCCAAAATGGATTCGTTGACCCCGGCCTCATGGTTAAAACGGTCCCATATGGTTTCACCCTTCCCGTGTTCTGCTGATCCACCTTCGACTTTGAAACTCTCACTGGAGACGGACCATTCAAAATCAACTGGGAAGGAACCACTGAGGAACTGGTCCCGCTCAGCTTCAGTCTGAGTTTTGAATTTCTCCCAAACCTTCTGATATGAGAATGCAGAAGCTGATTTCTGATTGAAGACAGACATAGCATCTTCTTTCTGCAGACTAAAAGAGATCATACTTTTTGTATAACAGTAACTGTTGTATATGTGAAATAACAGTAAGTGTTCTAACTGTAAATATGTATGATTTTGATCTCAGAATTACCTTCTGGGTGTTTCTTCATAATCTAGCTTCTCAAAAACATGTGTGATGTCACAGCCTATGATTTTATAATCTTTGTTCTGTAAAACTGGCATTAATAAGAGTAGGTTAGCGACTGTTTTTTATTTTCATGAGCAGCAGCATTTGGATGCATTAGTTATGCTAACGCTTACCTCCAAGAACTACAGTAAGTGGCTGGAAATCATGTTCATATCCATCACAATCATTCACTGTCAGCTGATAAATAAGGAGGGACTTTTGACCGCTGACTATCTGCAAAGATTATCAAATACCATTTCAGTGTCCTTGAAAAATGTCATAATGCAATTTAAGCAGTATTTCAGTATTAAAAACCAGCTGAGTTATGAAGTCTTATGAAATCTTATGGCTAATTACTAGGTTGATCTATTGTGAAGATGATTATATAATCCTTGCTGGGCCAGATAAGCCACTTACCTGTACTTTTCTCAATTCCTCAGTAAGAGCTGTCTGCATTTTGCAGTTGAACTGCATGTGCACTGAGAGGAAATCCACATGTGTCTGAAAATGTGATAAGAGAAGTATTTGATAAACTACATAATATTAACCATTGACCAACAATGTACATGATAATCAGATTTAGCTTTTACCATAATTTTTGATCCCATTTGATAAATGGATGTAGCATGACTAGCTCTGATTCCAAGAGACAAACGAAGCCCTGAAAACCAAATAAGCATCATAATAAGTGACAGCCTAGTTGTACAAATTAACTACGCTATTGAAGTCAGATGCTATGTGAATATACCCTTTGAATACAATAATTCTATATCTTTTGAAATGTGTGTGTTGGTACAGCCTATTAAAGTTTTTTTTTTTTTTTTTTTACACCCAGGAATAAAGGTTTAAACGCTGTCACTGGGAGCAAAAAGAAGTTTGAAAAGGCTGAGGTACGCTATACACACCTGCACTGCAGTAGTCTGGGTTGGGTCACCCTTTATTTTGATGGTCCGTTTGTTACATTGCATCTACATGTCAACTAATTCTCATTAGATTATAACTAGACTGTTAGGTTGGGGTTGGGGTTAGGGTTAGTGCTAGCTGACATGTACTTGCAAAGCATCTTATAGTCAGTTATATGTCTGTCGAAGGAGCAGTATCAACAGCTATTAAGCAGACAGTCTACTAATAGTCAAGTGGACCATCAAAATAAAGTGTTACCCAGGGTTGTAAAAGTGTTCATGTATACTCCTAATCACTACAATTTTGGCAGCTGGGATAGAATAAAAGTTTCATGAACATAAACAAACCGCCTTTTCTAGCCTTTCATACCTTTACTTTGTTTCTATTTGCTGCAAAAAGACACCAAATGGAACAATGTTTAGAACTTTAAAAGATGTGGCGCGACTTTCTGACAGAGTGATTGTACAGGTGGATTGATTCTGCTACTCTCTCCTCCAGTTTATTCATGTTGCTAACTCGATGTGGTTGTGGTTGATGTGGTTCTCCTGTTTGACCTGTATAAGTCTTTAAAACCTAAAATTATTTTACCAAAAATTTGCATTGGTGAGCTGTTTTGAACTGCCAAAAATGAACTCAAAACAAACTTTGTTTTAGCCATACTTTGTTACTCGATTTTGGCTGTTTGACGTTTGCCACAAATGCAAGCAGGATTTGCACCAGCATTTCTAATATGGGAGGCAGATATAACCAGGATACAGCCTCAAGTGTTACTAGCTGGTTAGCCTCTTGAGGCCAGGAGAGTGAAGTTTGATAACATAGCTCCTACTATCTGGCCACCATTGTCCACAAGTGTCACCCTTACTAGTCTAACCTCTCCACTACAAGCAGGATTCAAACCATTGTCTAGTTGTTGTTTCACTAGTGTGGTTTTTCTTCAAACTGTGCGAATTAAACTGAGCTCAGAACCTCCACCCTGCTGAAAAATCCAGCTTAAACCAGTCTAGGCTGGTTGGCTGGTTTTAGCTGGTTGACCAGGCTAGTTTTAGAGGGGTTTTGGCCACTTCCAGGCTGGTTTCCAGCCATTTCCAGCCTGGTCTTAGCTGGTCAGGCTGGGAGATGACCAGCTAAAACCAGCTTGACCAGCCTAGCCAAGCTGGGAGTCCAGTCAAAACCAGCTATATCCAGCTTAAACCAGGCTGGTCAAGCTGGTTTTAGCTGGATTTGGCTGGTAATTTTCCAGCCTGACCAGCTAAGGAAATGGCTGGAAACCAGCCTGGAAATGGCCAAAACCCATCTAAAACCAGGCTGGTCGACCAGCTAAAACTAGCCAACCAGCCTAAGCTGGTTTTAGCTGGATTTTTTAGCAGTGCAGAGTTACTGTTAGCCCTTGACAACTAATCCTTATTTGTTTTATGTACACACTGTCAAATATAAAGGTATGCGAGCTATCACTAGGGAAGTAACTTTTCAAAAGATACACATTTGTACCTGAGTCTCCATATTGATACATATTAGTACCTAAACAATGCAAAAGAGTACCTCATGACATTAAGTTTGAGATATCAATATGGACGCTTCAGGTAAAACGTGGACCTACTAAAAAGACACCAGCCCTAGTGATAGAGCTCATACCCACAGTTTATTTCTGCATAAGAGTTCATATATCTTACCTTTGAACTGTTGATGGCAGACTTTGTAAGCATTTTCATGGGACTGGAGAGCATTTTGAAGTTCTTCATGTTGTAGCTCATGCAGGTGGCTGAATGTGACGAACGTGTCAACGTGATCCCTAAATGTGCTGAACACAAATCCTGCATACTGCTCAAAAATCTGCACTAGCAATGGATTCCCCCAGCCTCCATATTTGGCTCTGAAGAGTTCTGGTACTGCAGAACGATGGAGAACCAGCAGAGGTTTGATGCCTGATTCAGTCAGCTGTTGTACAAGCGTCTTAAAGCACATCACAGTTTCTTCATGTGGCTGGTTGGCATCACCTGTAGGAAGAATATGAGACCAAGACAGGAGAACCTTGAAGTTGGTCACCCCTCTCCTTTGAAGGTACAAGAAGTAGTCTTTGGATTGTTGTGGCAGTGGACCTCTACAGTTAAACACATATTGTTCCTCTGAAGGTAAATTCTGGCTGGTGGTCAGAGGACCCGCAAGTAGCATGAACTCCTGTTCATCTGCATTAATGTAGCTCCAGAAAATAGCCAACACACCCAGAGAAAGAAATCCCCCTAGGATCTTCATCATGAGAGTGTTGCAAAGAAATGCAGTGCTCAAGGCTCTTTATAACCACTGCTAATCTTAGAAAGAGACATACCTATATCAGAGTCACAGGTCAACTCTAGTGGTACAATTTATGGTAGTCGTTAAGTTTTCATCATATAGACTCTGGACTAAGATAAGTTTGCTATAGAGTAAGAATAGTAGTCATTTAGAAACACTGGGCTGCAAATAACACTTTAACATTATATAGCCTCAAAACATTTTTTTCTCTCATTTCAACAGTTTGTTTATTAAAAATGTTTTACCTTTAAAGCAGTCCCTGCTGTCCGTTTGAATAAAGCTTGAAGTCATGCTTCATTAGAAGTTATTGTGATAAACAAAAGTTGTAATAAAATCAAGAGCGTAAGGGAAATTACAGAAGACAGCAATATATTCACCGTGCAAAACATTAAATCTTATCTAACAAACCGTCTGATAAAATCAATCTCAAAGTACTTTGTACTAGAGTGACATTAAGGTGGTTATGGTAGCTTATGGATGGATTAACAGGACACAATGTGTCAGCTTTTTAATGAAGCATTCAGTTGATCTGTAAGATTTTTTTTATTTAATACCTTTATTTGATGAATAGATAAATTGGGCTGGAATGAAAGGTAGAGTTGGTTGGCATAGTTATAGACATAGGAATGATAGACCCAAGTGATGTCATGTAAATGGAGAAGAGAAGCGGTCTTAGAAACAAGCTAGCATGAATATTGACAAATAAAATTGTGGTGTTACATCGCCATCCTGTGGATCATCCAGTGGGTTTGCCTTCAGTAGTGACATTTGCATTAAATTGATCTGAATTAAACTGAACTGATTTAAAATGTTGCATGGATGTTCAAGTGTGAAAAATGTAGCCACTAAGAGAATGTGGTCGGCTGAGTTCAATGTCAATTTCTAAAGTGAATTGTCACAGAGCATTTGAGCTTCTCTGTTTAAAGCAAATAAAACACCCTCTGTCACTTTCAGGCTCAATGTTGAGGGCACAGGGAGCCAAGAACAACATAAAGATAAATAACTGAGAGATCAGTCTCTGGCTTTTTTTCACTCTGGCCACTAGAGGGTGACAGCCCCCTCAGTCTAAAGCAGGTTCCAGTTCCAGCCCTGCTTCAACACACCCATCTGTATGCATCAAACAAGCCTAAAGCACTTAATTAGTTTGATCAGGTGTGTATAATTATGGTTATTTAGGGTTCCAGGAACCGAGTTTGACACCTGTGGTTTATAGCAGTGGTCTCAAACTTAATTCCTGGAGGGTCACAGCTCTGCACAATTTAGCTCCAACCACCTCTGACTCTCCCCTGCTTAATAGTCTCTAGTTTAATAGACTTGAACACCTTGATTAGTAGGATCAGCTTGGTTTGATCAAACTGTGCAGAGCTGCGGCCTTTCAGAAATCGAGTTTAAGACCTATAGCCTATAGCAGTGGTTCTCAAACTTTTTTCATCAAGTACCACCTTAGAAAAAATTTGTCTCTCCAAGTACCACCAAAACGAGTAGTATTGAAATACAGTAGCGTAGTAGGCCCAGTAAAGCAGCTACAACTGCACAGTTAGAAAGATCATGGCAGATTACCTCAGAAATATAGGCTATATGTCATATATGGCATATTATATACATCATTTTTGGTAAACTTGGAAATGTGTGAAGCATGTACAAGACATATTTCATTCCTCCGCGTACCACTAGAAGGAAGCCTGCGTACCAGTAGTGGTACACGTACCACAGTTTGAGAACCACTGGCCTATAGCATTGGTCTCAAACACAATTCCTGGATGTCTGGAGCTCTGCTTAGTTTAACTCCAACCACCTCTGACTCTCACCTGCTTTAAAGTCTCTAGTTGTCTTGAACACCTTGATTAGTTGGATCAGCTGTGTTTAATTAGGGTTGGAGCAAAACTGTGCAGAGCTGTGGCCCTCAAGGAATTGAGTTTGAGACCTATAGTTAATAGAGTCAGTTTAGTGCAGTGGTTTTTCAATTCCGGTTTCCGGGCCCCATTTTATTTTGTATGTCTCTCTTATTTGTCACACAGGAATCAGTTCATGGATCTCTCTGCTAATGAGCTAATGATCTTAATCAGGTGTGTCAAGTAAGGAAGACATACAAAATGTGCAGGGCAGGAAGGGCGAGGACTGGAATTGAAAACCACTGGTTTAGTTGAACCTTCTAGCTCTTCATCAGGAGGCTTGGATAAAATGTTCTGCACACCCTTTGGTCCTGATGACTGTAACTAAGGGTTACAGGTTTTAATTTGCTATAAAACCTCTTCTTTCAACAAAGTTAAATCATTGTTTACAACGGGGTTTTAGGCAGAAATATCAACTGCATCTGAAACTGCCTACTACTCAATAGGCATTGCATTTAAATTTAAACGTACTACCCGGCTGTTGGAAAAGTATGAATACAGAATGAATACAGCATAAGTTGCGTCGCGTCACTCCCATTCATGAAATCTCTTGCAGGGCATCATGTGGCATAGAGTCCATTCGATGCGCACTTCAGAATCTTGCTGAAAGTAGAAGGTCATGCGGGTACATCTAGCATACTGATTTTCGAATTCTATGAATTCGGACATACTACTTGGCTTGCATACTGATTTTAGCGTACTATATAGTATGGAAGTATGCAATTTCAGATGCAACCATTGGCTGTTTCTCAATATGCATTCTTCAGCGTTCTTGCGTCCTCGTGTTCTCGTGCAGCGTCATCATCAGCTGCCTAAGTTCAGTTCCAATACTCAAGACTGCAAGTACGGAGGACACTTGAAACTGCCCGGATGTGTTCTTGATATCGACTTGAGCACCGAACTCGCTCTGGAAGTCCCAGAAGTCATTGCGACTGGAGGAGGGAAGCGCAGCATTTTATTCATATTTATTATTAAAGTTCAGAGATATTACTTTTTACCTCAGGTGTTTCCCTAAATGAAACTAAACATCACCATGAATATCTTAATAAATGAATATACACATTAAGGATGTTTGTTTGGTGAAATTCGTATTAAAATCTGTTTTATTTATATTGTGCATCGTATATTTATAATGTTTTTATGCAGAGTATATATTTTGAAAATGGGACAAACAATAAATCGTTGTATGAATGCTGTAACGTTAATGTTTAAATAATTTACCATTTAAAACGTGTGAAGGTCACGTGACCATCAGGAAGAACGCAGCATCTCATTTCTCAAAGGACGCGTTCTCTGTCCTCGCGATCTCCTGTGTTCGTTCTTCCGAGGACACCTGGCAAGACCGTTCTCCAGAAGAACGCAAGTCCGTTCTCTAGGTTCTTGGAATTGAAAAACAGCCATTATCTGTTTGTCATGGATACTCCAGGCTCTCTTACTAATCACCAGTCTCAATCACCTGTGTACTAAGTTCATGCGCACCTGTTCACCATTACCCAATCTGCAACACCCTCAACACAAGCACCCTATTCCCATTGACTCACTGTCTAGAATCCTTCACAGATAGGACTCTGAATCATGCTGCCAGCTTTTGCTGATGCTACATGTGATTATCATCTCCTCCTATACTCCATTGTTGTTCCTGTATGTGTTGTGTTCCTGTATTTCCTCAACATTATACAAGCTCCTGGAAATCCCCTAGCATTATTACCATGCTCCATAGCTCTGGTAATCCAAAGATTTCCATTGACCTTCATCGCATATTTCCATCTGTACAACATCTGCAATAAAACCTGGCTGTGTGAAACTACCATATTTAAGTTATTTTTGGCGCAAGACTGTCCTGGAAAAAAAGCTATAAGATGAGGTCCAGTGGGGACATTTAAATGGGCTACTACTTCAGTTATTTAATAATTACAAAAACCCCTGCATGCTATATAATAGAATATATAGGCTATATATAGGCTGGCAAATAGATTTGGTAAACATCTTTATATTAAAGTTTATCTGGCTACTATTTGTGCTTGCCATGTGGGGTTCAAAGGAGTTTGAGTGAGTCAGCATAAAACTATACCCATATTAAGCTTCTGTCTCTACGGATGTTCTTACTGCTTGCTTTAGTCTTGTGAGTGATCCACATACCTTATTGGTTCATCAAGCATGCCTGAACTTGACTCTGGATGATGGTAGGGTTGCGCTACTGCCAAACCCTGCCTTGTCCCCAAAGTCAGCATTTCAAGAGGACATGATTGTTTAGGAAGAATGAGTTATTTGTTTTGTGGGCCACAAATTGTAATGCAAACAATTTTCTTGCAATGACTCTCATATTGGATGGTGAAGATGACTGAATGTCATTGCGCATTTATTTTGCTGGGAGTTAAGATTGTCCTTTTTTCCCCATTACGCAACATCTGAGTGAAATGGTCTAAAACATAGGTCTCAAACTCGATTCCCGGAGGGCCGCAGATCTGCACAGTTTTTCACCAACGCTAATCAAATACAGCTGATCTAACTAATCAAGGTGTTCAGGTCTACGTAAGACTATTAAGCAGGTGTAAGTTGGAGGTGGTTGGAGATAAACTGTGCAGAGCTGTGGCTCTTCAGGAATTGAGTTTGAGACCATTGTTCTAAAATGAGAAACAATGAAGGTGATCCCGATCACGTCCTTTGGGAAGCGATTGTATTGTTGAAAGACTGTTGCTAACAAAATGAAAGAAGATGGACGATTGGACAAAAGCAGGGCAGAAATAAGACATGCACTGATATGCCATCCCTAAAAGGCATTCTATTTCCCAGAAGTGAAGAAAAGTTTTTTTAAGTATACTGTAATGATGTTCACGGCCCTTTAGCCGCCGGGAAGAAGGAGGCGGAGAACCGACGCAGGTTTAAATTATTTATTAATAACTGTGACGGCAGCTCCTCACGGAGACTGCCATCTAAACTAAAACAAACTGACGGCAGTCCAACTGAAAGTAAAATATGTCCGGGCCCGGTCCTTCCTTCGGCTTCCTCTGCCATCGTTCCTCCATTTATTGTCCAGAGCTCCTACCGTGGGATCCTAGGCAGGTGCGCACCGCAGGTGTATCCACTTACGCGGTGGCCTCACTCCGTTCCCACGGCTCTCGGCCACGCCCCCTCGCCACATATACCCTGTCACTGAAAAACAATCTCACAGAGACTTTTTTTCAGTGCCAGACTATCAATCAGTTCTCAGCATTCGGCATGTATGGATATCTGAATATCTGGAAAATAAACCTGCCCTCACCCTCCTGCTAACACTTTGAGATCTCCAGGTGAAGAAATGAAAGATTTAGCCATAGTTCTGCTATGTCACATCATTCATAATAATTATCTCAGCCTATTCCAACCTTAATTATCAGCCTATAATGACCAAGCGGACTACATATAAGCCCATCTAAACAATCTGTTTCGCTGTACTCAGGTGACATTGCAGAAGTTTCCCTCCATCCTCCCCACCACCACCAGGTCGGCCTCGTTTCCACTCGGGGGTTGGCTTCGCCCTGCCTTCATCTTCAGGCAGGATCTACCAGCTCATCCAGACTTCTGCACCACAGACAGGGCTTACGCCAAAGGATTTTATAAAAGGACAGTAACAAACTTACATTTATCCAAACAATTTACAATAAATGTTACAAGGTTTATCTGCCCCCTGACGTCTTTCTGGTAGAACTGCTTATTGTTAAAATATAAAGCAAATGTAGTTTCAGTAACTGCAGCACTGATCGTAGAAAGTCTTTTGACCCGGCTGTCAATCAATTAGATCCATTCTCTATTATGCTAAAAATTACATTAATCTCTGTGCTCATTATATGCTTATCATATGAAATTATATCACAAAGTCAGATTTATGGCCTGTATTGTCTGACGGTATGAGCAAAAGCTGAAAGGGAATTGGCAAAATGCTTTTTAAACTGTGCTATGTCTGATCAAGTAAAATCGAGACATATGGAACAACTGAATACATTTATTTGGCTTAGTTTGTAAAGTCAGTTTATACAGAGATAACATTTTACTGATAACTGTAAATATATTTACACAAGCTAACATATAATTATGTTTAAGTAGAAGTGGAGTGTCATTAAGTACATAAAATATATTAATCTGTGGCACATTTTACAATAAAATGCATCTGTTAAATTAACAACAGTATAATGTTTAGAACTTGTCTTCTTTCGCAAGCTCAATATGTTCCCCCGCAGGACGTCTTTGTTTTTTGGATGTCCTGACAAGTCCAAACACCAAGAAGATAACAGTGACGGCAGCGATGAAGGTGAGACTGAAGAGGACATTAAGACCTAGTTCAGCATTAGAAACAGACACTTCCAAACCCAAGAAACTGACCGACAGTTCCTCAACAGGTGGAGGTAAAGTAGTGATTCCTGTAAAAACAAGAAAATACAAAGATAAATAGATAGATAGATAGATAGATAGATAGATAGATAGATAGATAGATAGATAGATAGATAGATAGATAGATAGATAGATGGTCAGAAGGATAGATGGATGGATGAAAGATAGATACCTGGGATGTCGTCTTCAGGTTCATGCACCTCACATTTATGTGGACGTTCTTCTGGGCTTAAGAAGCCATTGCAGCTGACAATTGTAGCATAGCTCCAGACAGATTTCTTAGGAATACGTGGAAAATTGGGATCTGACCGATTTACATAGAAAAGACCAAATCTTTCAGTATAACCCGCTGCCCATTCCATATTGTCCATTAGTGACCAGGCAGTGTAGCCGCGGATGTCCACACCATCTAGCATATATGCTAAGAATAACACTGCAATTAGCACCAAATAACTGAAAATGCTAAACAAAAAAATACATGCAAAACTATTATAGCAAACAATCATTTAATAATGTTCCTTTTGACATCTTTAAGAGGAAAGATCTTTACCTTTCAGGGCCTGATTGATATAGTTTTCATAGTAGTAGATTCGGGTGACGTCATTCAGATTCTCTGGTCCTTGTTCTGATACTCCATTTTCTGTAATGTAAAGAGGAGGGTTTCCATATTCCTCCTTAATGAAATTCAGAATCTTTCGGAATCCCACAGGAGCTACTTTCAACCAGATGGATCCAGAATCTAGCCATGTACGATCCCTAATAGCTCCAGCACCCCTGGAATAAATGGCAACTTTTTGAATCCTGATGCTTGAATTCAGAAACATGGACCTAAAACATCTCAAACTAAAGGGTTACCTGTCTGCTTCAATGTGCTGTTGATCACCGTAGTCCACGTTAAAGGCTAAAACAGAGGTGTAGTGGTTGAATCCAAAATAATCATGAGTACCCTTAATTCTTGCTACTTCTTCAGGGGTAAATTCTGGAAGCCTGTCAAATGTAAAGGCATTTAGAAGCATGCAAAGTTGTGAATTCCTCACAAGAAAATGTCTGTATTTACCTTGATTTAGGTAGGCCAGCTGCCAAACTTCTTTCTCGAATAACATCCTTCATTAAATCACTGTAATCTCCTTTGAACACGGGATGAGCAAACCAACCAAGCTGAAACTGTTTAAAAGAGATAAAAAGTGAAGTGGCATGTAGAAATTAATGTAGATATCGCTGTACAACAAAGCTGTACCTGAATCGTACGTCTGGCAGCATCCACGTCTTCTTGTTTGTATGGGTTTCTTGCTTCAGCCCAGTCGGAGTTCATAGTGAGGCTAATCATTCCACCATGTTTAGCACGATATTGGTCATTATACAAATGCCAAGCTTCAGCATGAGCCTTAATGAGGTTATGTGCCACAGTATATGGCGCAGTGCCTGGACTATCACTAAGACCTGAACAGGACAGTAGCATTATTAACTATTAACACTGTTAAGCTAAGCAACTTTTATTACAGGAAAAGGTTATTTTTAATGCTAATGATACCTGGTGCTTGGCTTCCATAGCCATATCCATGTGCTGCAACATTTAGGGGTTCATTTAAAGTGATCCAAAACTTTATTTTTTCACCCAGACTGTTAAATACAACATCAGCATAGTCTCTGAATCTATCAACAATAGTGTCATTCTCCCAACCACCAACATCCTGAAGAGCTTGTGGCAGATCCCAGTGGTAAAGTGTCACCTGCCAGTGATCAATAGACTGTCAGAAATGACCAAAATAGGTTTTTTTCATTCAAATTGTTTTGAAATAATTTACCTGTGGCTTGATATTGGCTGCCAAAAGAGCATCTGTCAGTCTATGATAGTAGTCGAGCCCAGCCTCATTAATTTTCCTGTTTGTTCCATCTGGCAGAATTCTGGGCCATGAAATAGAAAACCGATAATGTTTGACCCCAAGTGTTTTGAGAACATTGATATCCTCTTCGATCTTGTTGTAGCTGTCACAGGCAATGTCACCATTATCATCTTGCGTTATCTTTGAATCAGTGTGTGAAAATTTGTCCCAAATGCTTAGGCCTTTTCCGTCAGCTCTCCAGGCGCCCTCTATCTGTGGTGATGCAGCAAAGCATGAGCATTACCCTCATACTCTGAGTGAAGAAATGCTAATAAAAACAAGAAGAAATGGATTGTACCTGATATGCAGCGGTTGCTGTGCTCCATTCAAATCCTTCTCTGAAATGTCCATATAGTATTTCTTCCTCTGCTGTGATTGGAAAGCCGTTATTTCTTATTATATCGAAGTAAAAGTGAGCTGAGCGCTTTGGGGTTCTTGGCCGACTTGAATGCTTAAAGTCCACATGGTGAAGTCCATAGCCGACATTGTAGCCATTCAGCCACTCAAAGGAGTCCATGAGTGAACTAGCAATGTATCCTTTAACACGTACTCCATCCAGGTTGTGCGCTAAAAATAGAGCACATATAAGTACAAAAATACATTTTGAAAATTTAAACATTGAGATGACACAAATGAAATAGACTATTACCATACCTTTAAGAGCCTCATCAACATAGGTCTTTAAATAGAATATACGATCAGTGTCATCTGTTGTAAAGGCAGTGCTTGTAGCTACACCATTTTCCGTAATATAAATCTCAGGATTTCCATACTCTTCTTTCAACCAAATGAGAAGTCTCCTGAGTCCCCAAGCAACAGCTTTCTGCTCACTAACAGCTGTATCTTCATAGCTATCTGCATTGTCCTTCTCAATGTCCTGATCAGTCTGATAGGATTCGATATTAAGTCTGCTGGTCACATGGCGCATGACTTTCGTAGTGTATGTGTTAATGCAGAATACATCAGCTGTTCCTTGGATAAAAGCTTTGTCTTGGCTAGTAAAAGAAGGTAACCGGGATTCTTTTAAGCCTTGCAGTTCACTCTTGTTGCCAACTTGCCACTTCATGGCATCAGGGTAGTCACCATTCTTGAAGATTGGATGTGCAAACCAGCCTAATTGAAATTGAAGAGCTCGATCAGCAGCCTCCACCTCTCGAGGGATGTTGACATCCAGGGGTTCTGCCCATTCAGCATTCAGACTAATGGATACCAGACCTCCTTGAGATGCCCTGTATTTCTCATCATATGTGTGATAAGCTTGTGCATGAGCTTTCAGGAGGTTGTGTGCAACCCTGTATGGAGCATCTCCTGGTTGCTTCACATTAGGTGGAATCTGACCCAGCCCATATCCCAACCATGCAATCGTCTGGGGTTCATTAAAGGTGATCCAAAACTTCACCCTATCTCCAAATGTTGCATAGCAGAAGTCACAATATTCATTGAATATGCTAACCATTTCAGTGTTGTCCCAACCATTGATATTCTGTAAAGCCTGCGGCAGGTCCCAATGGTAGAGAGTCACCATGGGTGTGATATTATTTGCTATGAGACCATCTATGAGCCTGTTGTAGTAATCCACCCCCTTCTGGTTAAGAGAAGATTTATAGCCATTTGGAAAGATCCGAGACCATGACAATGAGAATCTGTAAGTCTTCACTTTTAGGGCCCTCAACATGTGTAGATCTTCATCTACTTTATTGTAGCTATCACATGCAACATCGCCATTGGCATTGTTTGGGATATTACCAGGTTTCTGAGTGAAAGTATCCCAAACACTTGGTCCTTTTCCATCTGCATTCCAGCCACCTTCAACTTGATAAGCTGAAGATGAGACACCCCACTGAAATCCCTCTGAAAATGTTCCATAGTGATAAAGCTGCCTCTCAAATTTGGTCTGAGGTGAAAACTTTTCCCAAACAACCTTGGATTTTGAAGGCACTTGAGATGGAGGCAAACTAGGGAGTCTTCTACTTTCGACTTGATTTCCACGGATATGCATCTTAGGGCTTGCAGCAGTCTCAGCAAATCCATTTCTCTCAATCACCTTTGAGTAATAGTATGCTGATGCTTTAGGGGTTCTTGGCCTGTCAGGATCATCAAAGTTCACATAGTGCAAACCAAACCGTTGAGTGTAACCTGGAGGACCCTCATATCCATCCATTAGAGACTGGACTGTAAACCTCTGAACGACAACATCATCCAAATGCACAGCTGTTTAGACAAATAAAAAATAGTTAACATACTTTTTATAGTTAAATGCTAAACCAACATCTCTGGCTATTTTCATGGCAGCATTTAGTGTTAAAATGCAATAGTAAAAGACCCTTTTTTTGACCTTTTACTCTTACCTTTCATTGCTTCATTAATGTAAGCTTTGAGATAGTCAACACGCAGAGTGTCATTGATCCCGTCACCAGTATACTCAGTTGGCATTCCATTTCCTGTGATATAGATGGGCACCTTTGTAATAGATGTGTACTCTAAAAAGATGTAATACAATAACCGCCGGAGCCCCCATGGAACAGACTGGATCTGGTCAGAAGCTGTAGTGGGCCATGTAGGGTCAATATGAGCCTGGAAGTCCCCAACATTATCTGGCCCAGCATCACAGCTAGTCAAATTCTCACTAATCAGTCGGGATGTTTGGTGGTTTAGTCCGAAGAAATCAGCTGTGCCTCGAATTCTTTGTTTCTCAGCCTCGGTGAAGACAGGGAGTCTTGCCAGGTCTTGGGTACACAATTCTTTCTTTTTCTCAATTTGCTCCCTCAGTACCGCTGGATAATCTCCATCTACAAATATTGGATGAGCAAACCACCCCAGCATGAAGTTTAGATAACGCTCAGCTGCTGCTACATCCTGATCACTTGAGGGATCCCTCGGCTCAGCCCAATCTGAGTTCAGAGCAATGCCCACTTTTCCACCATACAGTTTCCTGTATTTATCATTATAAATATGCCAGGCTTCAGCATGAGATTTCAGAATATTGTGCGTCACCTGTGAATACAAGCAAAGAATTGTCAGTATACACTTTTTAAAATCATACTATATTTGGGACTTTCTAAGGGTGCTTTCACACTTGGTTCGATTGCCTGGTCCAAACCCAAGTTTGATTGCTCCCTCTTGCCACCCTCTCGGCTGGTTTGTGTTCACACTATCTTGTGTTCACTAAATCCCTCAGATCCCTGGTATGGTTGTGTCATAAAGTCGCTGTTGTGTGTACATCTTTTGCTAGGTGAAGGCCATGAAAGTGAAGGCACTTTCATGGCCAGGTCGTTCGGCTTTTACCAAATCTTTTGGTTTTGTTACCAAATTACAGAGAGCCACTTGCATCTATCGGCTGCAAAAATGTAAAAATCATTCAGAACATCACGCAATGTCCGCAGAAGTCAGTTTTGCAGGACACAAGCTGACATTATCACTGTGTTTGCACTGGGTCAGTCCCGCTTGTTGCCAAGGTAGGTGACACACAAACATCACCTACATAAAAATTAACGTTATGAAAACTAAAGTTTGTTGTACAGTAGGTGGTTCACTTCCATTATTGGGTAAGATTGCTTTTATATCAGAAGTGAACAATACCCCAGACAACCTCTTTCATGCGGACTCTGGTATTGTTTGCCGGGTGTGCACCCGAGTACAGAAAAGACTGTGTTCATACTAGCTAAACATACTGAACTCTGGCGTCAAACAAACTCAGGTGCGGACCAACAGTGCTAGTCTGAAAGCACTCTTAAATTAACATGCACACCTTGTAGGAGGCCGATACTGGGTCTTTAATGCTTGGAGGATATTCCCCTGTTCCATATCCCAAACTGCTCACAACCCAGGGACTGCCAAAGGTGATCCATGATTTTACTCTGTCTCCATAACGAGAGAAGCAGAAGTCTGAAAATTCTTTGAATGCTTCCACAATGGAGTCATTAGTCCAGCCTCCTGATTCCTGTAGAGCTTGGGGAAGGTCCCAATGATGCAGGGTAACAGTGGGCTCGATTCCTGATTGCAGGAGTGTATTAATCATCTTATCATAATAAGCAGCCCCCTTTTCAACAAAACTTTCTTTGCGTCCAGTGGGAAAAATGCGAGCCCAAGAGATTGAGAACTGATAATTTGGTGCCATCATGCCTCTAAGAAGATACACATCATAGTCCACCTTGTGATAACTATCACAGCCCAAAATGGATTCGTTGACCCCGGCCTCATGGTTAAAACGGTCCCATATGGTTTCACCCTTCCCGTGTTCTGCTGATCCACCTTCGACTTTGAAACTCTCACTGGAGACGGACCATTGAAAATCAACTGGGAAGGAACCACTGAGGAACTGATCCCGCTCAGCTTCAGTCTGACTTTTGAATTTCTCCCAAACCTTCTGATATGAGAATGCAGAAGCTGATTTCTGATGAATTTTAGTGTTTTCCTTCTGCAGACTAAATGAAAACAATCATTTAACTGACTTAAAAACAGTTGCACAATGATACAATATGTATGTATGTTTTTCACCTCAGTCTTACCTGAGTGTTTCTTCATAATCTAGCTCCTCAAAAACATATGTGATGTCACAGCCTATAATATGATGGCCTTCGTTCTGTAAAACTGACACAAATATAAGAAAATAGGTTTAGAAACTGATCATTTTATTTCATGAACAGCATCTTAGACTTTTGTCAATGTTTACCTCCAAGAATTCCAGTACGTGCCTCAAAACCATGTTCATATCCATCACAATCATTCACTGTCAGCTGATAAATAAGCAGGGACTTTTGACCGCTGACAATCTGCAAAGATTATAAAATGTTATTTTTAGTGTTCTTGAAAAATGTAACAAAAAACTATTTAAGCAGTTTTTCGGTATTAAAAAAATCTTTTGAAATCTATTGGCTAATTACTAAGCTGATTTATTGTGAAGATGATTATACAGTATTTGCTCAGCCAGATAAGCCACTTACCTGTACCTTTCTCAATTCCTCAGTAAGAGCTGTCTGCATTTTGCAGTTGAACTGCATGTGCACTGAGAGGAAATCCACATGTGTCTGAAAGTGAGATAAGTGAAGTATGTGATAAATTACATAATATTACCTATTAATCAGTGAGATATAAATGTATATATATATAAATCTGCATTGAGCTTTTACCTTGATTTTTGACCCCATTTGATGAATGGAAGTAACATCACTGGCTTTGATTCCAAGAGATAAACGAAGCCCTGAAAACCATATAAACAGCATAAGTGACAGCCTTGTTGTACAAAGAACTATGCTATTGGAGACAGAGGCTATGGGTTGGTCAGATTTGTTATTTTGAATTTAATGATAATAATATATTTTTATGGGGCAGGACGGTGGTGCAGTGGGTAGCACAATCGCCTCACAGCAAGAAGGACACTGGTTTGAGCCCCGGCTGGGTCAGTTGGCATTTCTGTGTGGAATTTGCATGTTTCCTCCAGGTGCTCCCGTTTACCCCACAAGTCCAAAAACATGTGGTATAGGTGAATTGGGTAAGCTAAATTATCTGTAGAGTATGTGTTCGAATGAATGTGTGTGGATGTTTCCCAGTGATGGGTTGCGGCTGGAAGGGCATGCGTAAAAAAATATGCTTGATAAGTTGGCAGTTCACCTGTACCGCATGTCTTTGGACTTGTGGGGGACACCGGAGCACCCGGAGGAAACCCATGGGAACGTAAGGAGAACATGCAAACTCCACACAAAAATGACAACTGACCTACTGCGCCACATGTCACCCTAAATGAATAATATATATTTTGAAATGCCTGTACTAATGCAGCCTATTTATTTTTTTTATAGATTATAAATAATTTTGTGTATCTCATCCAGGTCTACTCACCAGACAAATTGTTTTTCTTTAAGTAAACATTTGCCTCTAAACCTCAATCATGGATAATGACGAAGTCATGGCAGTTCTAATCTTCCAACACCGAGCAGGATTTAAACCAGGATTTCTTATATGGGAGGTAGATGTGATACTCGTTATCATGTCTACCTCCCATATTAGAAACCATGGTTTAGCCTAGCCAAAACACACTAGCATTAGCCTTTAGTTTGACACCTAGGGAGTGAAGTTTGCTTGCATGGATCCTACTGGTTGGCTTGTTGCGCTCACACCTAAACCCCATCTCTGCCTGGGTCATGCTACCTGCTAGCCAGCAGCTAGCCCGCTGCAACTCTCACATGGTCACTTACTGAAGCTAAGCAGGGCTGTTCCTGGTCAGTACCTGCAGGGGGCCACATGGAAAAGCTAGCTTTCTGCCGGAAGTGATGTTAGTGCGGTCTGTGTGGGTCCTTATACCCCAGTATAGTGAAGGGGACTCTATACTGCTTAGTGTGCGCCGTCTTTCATATAAGACGTTAAATCGAAATCTCTGTGGTTGTTAAAAATCCCAGGATGTTCTTCGACACTTTGCCCACTGTCCTCTGTCCATCATGGCCTCCCATATCATAATTGGCTTCATCACTCTCCTCTCCACCAATTAGCTGGTGTGTGGTGTGCGGTCTGACACAATATGGCTGCCTTCGTGTTATCCAGGTGGATGCTGCACACTGGTGGTGGATGAGGAGATCCCCCCCAATGTGTACATATCTATACTCAAAGCAGGATTTCAAGAGTTTACACTTAGCTAATGCTTGATAAGGTTAATGCATGGTTGGCTGGGAGAGATCACTGAGCTTGAAGGATCCTTGAACCTAGAGTTTCCTTCTGTTTAGTCAGGAGAGAGGAGAGTCTGAGCTCATTCTCGAGAACTCCTATATCTTCTTCTAAGGTAAGAAGAGCAGACTATTTATTTGCATTTTGAATGTAATCAGTTGTCATCTGATTGGTTTGTCATGTGATTGATAATGCGAGACCAGCTGCCAATATTAAGATATTAAGCATATGATCCTCTCGAAATCAGTTTATGAACCTTCACTTGAAGCAGTGTTTCCTAATTGGAAAGCAGATGTGCTAACAAAGTTTCAGGCACTTCAGGATTATTTTATTTGTCCCTAGGGAAAGTCAATGATTTTTTAATTGAGAATTCTTGGAATACATATTCGAAAACAGAATTTCAAAATAATCACACAAATGCTTCCAATACCCGCAACACAATCATAAAAGCTCTTACTGACTAGTCTTAGTAACATATTCCACTTTCACATGCTATTTATACATTTTACGTAAAAGGTAACACATACAGAAATATTCAAACATTTTGTTCAACAGACATCATCATATTTAGCATTAAAAATGTGACAAAATGATTGGGGACTTGATGCCAATATTTTCTTACTAGTGTGTTTATCATGCTGTGATAATTGAACTACTGTTGCAACTGGCTTCTATTACTGAGAGGTATCCTTAGACAACTAACCTTTATCTGTTTTGTGTACATATTGCAGTTAATAAATCAATCTCAAGTCTTACCTGTAAACCTTTGATGGCAGACTTTGTAAGCATTTTCATGGGACTGGAGAGCATTTTTTAGTTGTCTATCTTGTAGCTCATGCAGGTGGCTGAATGTAACGAACGTGTCAACGTGATCCCTAAATGTGCTGAACACAAATCCTGCATACTGCTCAAACATCTGCACTAGCAATGGATTTTCCCATCCTCCATATTTGGCTCTGAAGAGTTCTGGTACTGCAGAACGATGGAGAACCAGCAGAGGTTTGATGCCTGATTCAGTCAGCTGTTGTACAAGTGTCTTAAAGCACATCACAGTTTCTTCATGTGGCTGGTTGGCATCACCTGTAGGAAGAATATGAGACCAAGACAGGGGAACCTTGAAGTTGGTCACCCCTCTCCTTTGAAGGTACAAGAAGTAGTCTTTGGATTGCTGTGGCAGTGGACCTCCACAGTTAAACACATATTGTTCCTCTAAATGTAAAGTCTTGCTGGTGGTCAGAGGGCCCGCAAGTAGCATGAACTCCTGTTCATCTGCATTACTGTAGCTCCAGAAAATAGCCAACACACCCAGAGACAGAAATACCCCTAGGATCTTCATCATGAGAGTGTTGCAAAGGAATACAGTTGTCCAGGCTCTTTATAACAACTGCTAATCTAATAATCTAACACATAACAGAGTCACACCATCTTTAGTGGTAAAATTTATGATAGTCATTAAGTGTTAATGATATAGACTCTGGACCAAGATAAGTTTGTTATGTAGATCAATACTTTTAAGAAACAAAAAAAAATATACTAGAACATTAAATATGTCTCTCAAACATTTGTTCCTCACTTCAACAAAAACTATTAAAATTATCCCTCCTGTCCATTTATGCAATACTTGCAGTGATGCTTATGAGAAGAAAACGTGACAAAGCTAAGTTATACAATCTGTTACATATTGTTATAAAACAAGTTATACAATTAATAATATCAATCAAGAGCATAAGGGAATCACATAAGACGGCAATATATTGGTTATGCAAAGACATTAAAGCTTAACTGACAAACCATATCAGGAAAAATCAATCTCTGAGTACTTTGTACAAGAGTGACGTTAAGTTGGTTATGGTGGCTAGTGGATGGATTAAAAAGACGTGTCAGTTTTTTTAATTGCTCAATAGACGAATTACCATGTTTGTAAACATTTAGGATGCGCACGTAGGGAGGTGGCAAAAAAAATGGGGGCGTTAGCATTAACAGTAAGGGAATGACATCCGATGCGGTACAAAGTTTGTTGTTGTCTTAGAAATAAGATATATTGATTACATATTATGTATATTAATTACATAATACGTTCAGTGTATTATAACAGCTTGTCACGCAGTGATAAGCACAGTGATTCTGCAAAATTAACGTTAAAGTGAGCAGCGCTCGTCTGACAGGTCCATTTGCGATAACACCCTCCTAATTAATATTGGATAGGGCGAAATGACCAAGCATTCAGCATTCAAATATAGAATCTCATTAAAGCTCCAAGTGATTTTTACAAGAGAGAAGTTAAAGTCTTTGGATGCCTAAAATGTTGTTCTGTGTGGTCATGTGCAAGAAATAATGTTCCATGATTACCAGATCCAAAATTCTGTAGTGCTAAAAATCAAGGTTCTACCTGGCCAAAGACAAGGAAAAAAGACGGAGCTATACAAGGTCTGGGTAGTCATCAACAAGCAAAACTACTGCATGACAGCGAACTACACCTGTACGGCAGGGAATGTTTACTTACACATAGAGGTAAAGTTGGTTTTATATTCGCACATTAATATTTTCTCCTTAATATAATTTCATAAAAGTGTAATTTGCAAACTCTAAATAGCGAAATCATATTAGCAGCCAATGACTATCAAAGTTTAACATGTTCACAGTCAATTAAACAGTGTGAATGTTGTTTTCAAGTCACACTTGCTGGTTATTTCAGACAGAATATTCAAAGTGCCGTGGTAAACAATGTCACAAGTTGTCACTGAATGAATGTGTGAATATAAAAGCAACTTTACCTTAATAACTTACACTTTCACGTTTCATTCTTAGCATTCAGTGTCTGCAGTTTAATTAACCTTATTTAACTGTTTTTGCTGAAATCACTGCTGCAATCAAAAACGAGTAACTTGAATGATTCAGCATAGCAGGAACTTACCTGATATAACAAGAACTGCAGAGTCCAGCATTTCTAATTAAGTCGTCTCTTTATTCAGCTCCCTTTTAGCCAAAGAAGTCCGCAGTTGGCATTAAAGCAGTGTGGTGTATGGTAAAATTTGGCATCCTACTGCACAACACTACATGCTTGCTATTGCAGCCAGTCTTTTTTTGCAACCGGGACCCATGTGATGTCATGTATTTCATCTATAAGATCAAATATCCATAAATTCCTATCTTTGAGAAATCTAATCCAAATGGTTGGCGACCAATAAAACATTTTCCCCACAGAGAGTAACAGGTATTATAAAGGTAATTTTAAAGTGAACACTAAAATCAAAGTGAATGCAATAAATATAAAATATCAGGAGTTCGCACTTAGATGACGATTGATAATAAAGCTTGTTTGGCATGCTGTCCTGGGAGAGAGCCCTGAGCTATTAAGATGGCGAGAGGGGAGTTTGAGCACAGGTAGATCTCGATGAACTCCCTGACTTGTTAATGGCTAATGACAAATTGTAGGGATAGTTAAACTGCTTACTAAGAGCTCATCGATAGTGCCAATTGGTGTGGTCAATTTACTTATATTGCTTGTTTTTGGACTGTGGGAGAAAACCAGGGAAACCCATGCGAGCACGAGGAGAACAAGCAAACTCGGCACAGAAATGTTGACTGGTCCAGTAAGGACTTTTAACCAGTGATATTCTTGCTATGATGCAACAGTGCGAATCACTGGGCTGCCATGTCACCCAATCTATAAAAAGGAGGGAGGAGTAGGGGTGGGAGGGGGATTTTTAAAGACAAAAATACTGAGGTAAAAAACGTTTTATTTCTAGTGAGTTAGGAATCATCTAATTGGTGAATCATGTGCTAGCTAATGCGGGACCTGCTATAAGCATGACATCGCGTTATAAAAAAAATATAGCTTTTAATCTATTCTCAATGTTGGGTTGGGAGATGGGTCTATTCTACACAATCTGAAGACTTTACCCTGATATTTTGGAGTGGATGTATACCTGACCGGTGAGTCGTCTGACAAAAAAGTGCCCTGGATCTTTTACTTACTTCAAAGACACTAATGACAACGCTAACATGCACATCTGTAATCTAGTTATTTGCCTTAATAGACAATAATATAATTAAGGTGTTTACGTGAAGTGCTTTCATGTAAGAGTTTCCTTTAACTTTGGGTGACTTTAACTGTAGTTCAGCAGTTTCACTTTTAATTTAATTCATTCACTTTTAACATTTAATTCATGGCCTTGTGACAAACTGGGGTATTAGACGCAAATAAGAAGTAAGGACTGGTGAGTGTTTTGGAATTTAATAATGCACGCCAAATGGAAAGAAAAAAAACTTCTGCATTTCTTGATGTGTTTGCGTGCTTGTGGATCTTGTCGGATAATATGGCTGAAAATCCCACATGACGGTAATAGTTTGATTGCGGTGTTTACTTCAATAATGCCACCAATATATGCATACTCTACGCCTTAATTCCATTTCTGTTTAGTTTAGTTTCAGTTTCCTTTATTTATGTCATTCAAATCCTCACAATAGAATTGTAATGCAGAACGAAATTACGTTGCAACAGACCCAACAAGAACATAAAAAACATCACTATAAAAACACGATAAAATCCTAACATGATAAATAAGCTTTTATAATTCCATAAAATATAAAAAATATAATTATATAAGATAACCCATTTTTAAAAAATCTCTGAAGAGAATAACTTAATACTTAAATACCTATTTCACCATTTGTTGTAATATTAACAATTTATGCTAGTTTAACAAATTTATTTATTATTTAACACTAGCTTTCAACAATGCTTAAGAAATGGTATTGTTTAAAAGTCTTATAATGACAGGATAAAAACTATCTCGAAACTGCACTGATTTGCTCCTCAGACTTCTGTAACGCCTGCCTGATGGCATGAGTGAGAGCATGAGTTATGACTTTACTGGGATTAAGGTGATCAAAAATCAGTTTCGAGCTTATGTAGGCCAACAGTTTAAAGTTCATGTTTAACTGATTTAACAGTTAGAAAACACAAGTACGTCTTATTAAACAATTTATTTTCATCACCAATTATTATAGTAAAACAGTTTCGCAAGCAGTTTGTGATGCATTTTGGAAACAGGAGATGATCTTCTGGTCGAATACGCCCGTTCTTAGCCCCCGTTTACACTAGTGCGTTTTAGTATTAAAACGGCGTTTTAGATCAAAAACGATCCGTGTCCACACTAGTGTTTTACCTAGCGTCTCTGAACATATCTCCGTCCACACTACTCCACCAAAAACGTGTATCATGTGACCATTCTCTGGGCATGCGCATTCTTGTATAAACAGAAAGCATGCGTCTTGCTCTGCATTTGGTTATTGTTAGTCAACAAACGCCGGTTGAACATTGAACGCGATGGCAAAGAAAGCAAGAGAGGTATTTTTGTGGACAGACGACGAGGTCGAGTTGTTATTAAACCTAACAAATGAATCACTGCACAATGGCGCCTAAAACAGACAACAGTGCAAACAACGCTCCCATTTCTGTGCTCATGTTGTTGTTTACAGTACTGTCTTCTGGTAGCGTTAAAGCCATGTGTTATAGTCATGTGATAGAGGCTTGACGAATAAGGGAAGGATACGCAATGACACAAAAGCCCCAATCAGGTATTGGTATTACAATGTTTGTAAACATTTAGGATGCGCACGTAGGGAGGTGGCAAAAAAAATGGGGGCGTTAGCATTAACAGTAAGGGAATGACATCCGATGCGGTACAAAGTTTGTTGTTGTCTTAGAAATAAGATATATTGATTACATATTATGTATATTAATTACATAATACTTTCAGTGTATTATAACAGCTTGTCACGCAGTGATAAGCACAGTGATTCTGCAAAATTAACATTAAAGTGAGCAGCGCTCATCTGACAGGTCCATTTGCGATAACACCCTCCTAATGAATATTGGATAGGGCGAAATGACCAAGCATTCAGCATTCAAATATAGAATCTCATTAAAGCTCCAAGTGATTTTTACAAGAGAAAAGTTAAAGTCTTTGGATGCCTAAAATGTTGTTCTGTGTGGTCATGTGCAAGAAATAATGTTCCATGATTACCAGATCCAAAATTCTGTAGTGCTAAAAATCGAGGTTCTACCTAGCCAAAGACAAGGAAAAAAGACGGAGCTATACAAGGTCTGGGTAGTCATCAACAAGCAAAACTACTGCATGACAGCGAACTACACCTGTACGGCAGAATATGTTTACTTACACATAGAGGTAAAGTTGGTTTTATATTCGCACATTAATATTTTCTCCTTAATATAATTTCATAAAAGTGTTATTTGCAAACTCTAAATAGCGAAATCATATTAGCAGCCAATGACTATCAAAGTTTAACATGTTCACAGTCAATTAAACAGTGTGAATGTTGTTTTCAAGTCACACTTGCTGGTTATTTCAGACAGAATATTCAAAGTGCCGTGGTAAACAATGTCACAAGTTGTCACTGAATGAATGTGTGAATATAAAACCAACTTTACCTTAATAACTTACACTTTCACGTTTCATTCTTAGCATTCAGTGTCTGCAGTTTAATTAACCTTATTTAACTGTTTTTGCTGAAATCACTGCTGCAATCAAAAACGAGTAACTTGAATGATTCAGGTATCTCAGCAGTCCCGCCTGCGTTTTTAGATGTCTCTGTTTTTCTTCGTCCACACTAAGAAGGAGATGCAGCGTTTCAGAAAGAAAACGGCCTCTCCAGCATTTTCAAAACGCTCCGTTTTCGGCGCTCGAGAACTTGGGCGTAGTGTGGACGGATGGCGTAAGCGTAGAAAAACTTATGCTTTTTAAAACGAAAACGCATTAGTGTAAACGGGGCCTTAAAGACTTATATTTAGTCCTTATTTGGGTAGCACGCATTCTGAAGGCCTTCGGCAGAATTCAAATGAGCCATTAATGTAGATTCATTCCAAGATTACAGTGAGATTAATCTAGATTAAAAAAAAAATCTACGCCCACCTATTAAAATAAAACTACACTTATGCCGCTGTCACACAAGAGTTTGAGCATGTGAAATTCTGTCGTACGGCCCTGGGAATAAAGAGCAGGATTAAACAAGATGTTTAGACATTTAAAAAAAGCAATTGGTCTATATTTAAAGTTTCTATACAGAGAGGTCATGTTTTAATCATTGATTGGTCTCATGCAGTCACAAGATGGGAATTCGCAGGTCAGAGTTCACCAAGCTTGAACTTTGCAACAGCCAACAGTGAAACATGTCGCACAAGCTTGCGTTTTGGTCTGTTGCATTCACTTGCGTAAGAATAAAAGTCTAGGAGCAAAAAGTCAACTGTGACCAACTGTGTCAACTTCAGTGTTTTAGCAGCATTTTTAAAAAGCTTATTCCAACCCCAGCCAAATGTTTAACAACATTAAAAAAATCATTTTAAATAATGTCAGATCATGTATTTTGAATATCAAATAGATGGTTTACTATGGACTATTTCATTTATTTGAAAAATAAGAAACACTTTGAAAGGCAGTTCATTTCATGAGTTGTGTGAACTTTCATATTTAGGACTTTTAAAGCCTAAATTGTGGAATGGAAACGGGTTTAAGACTTGCAGAAGCCCTACACTAAATCCACAGATATTAAAATTATCAAAGAAATTATTTGACACTGGCAAAAATAATAATAATAAAAAATATTTAAACATTGTCTCCACAATAATTAACTGCAGTAATTCTTCACCCAAATATATAATATACTCTCCTTTTACTAATTTTCTTGTTTCTTGCTTCTGCTGAACACAGAAAATACGACATCTTGAATACTGAAAACCTGTAACCACTGACTTTCATCGTATTTATTTTTATTTTACTAGGGAAGTCAATAGTTACAGGTTTCCAGCTTTTTCAAAATAGCTTTTGTGTTCAACCAAATGTTTGAGACCACTTGAGTGAAGTAAATAGTGAGAACTTTTTTGGGTGAACAATCGCTTTAAGTATAAAGTGTATAACCATCTCATTATCATAGATATGAAATGTGAATATTATTTCTGGGATCACAGATAACTGATATGTGAATGTCACAGAATGCAACAAAATGTGCTCTTTTATATGTTTGCTATAATCTAAATGTTGCCAAAAAGACCAAAACAACCATTTCAGAAGCACAGAAAAATTAGGCATGATTGCAATTCTTAAACAAAAGATTTATTTGGACAGTGTACAAAATACCTTACAAAAAATCGTACAAAATGTTTTGGAAGATATAAAAAAAAAAAAGTATCAAAGTTGAAAAAGTATCAAAAGTTGAAAAAGTATTGTTGAAAAAAGTATCAAAAGTTGGAAAACCTGGGTGTTGACAGACATTAAACTCTTATACTTTAAACAGTTTCAAGACAAAAAGAAAAACAAAGTTGCATTGGTACCATATAAAACATTCGCCTCCATGACTTTCAGTTCCAATAGGGGTAGTAGCAAAAATTCTCATATACAACCAAGTACACAATATGCAAATAAAATAATCAAAAGCTTCTTTGCAGATCAATAATTGATTCACAAGTATTCAAGCATTTTCCAGGTTTCCGTTACAAACACACTACTCCAAACACAGAACTACAGAAATGCTCTAACTACACTAAACTACATTTCTGATGTGGTTTTACACTGGCTCGTCCATCTCATTTTGGAATGGCAAAGATAATATGTAAACTCCAGTTTAAGGCATTTTTGAGATGCAACCCTTGGCACTTCATTAGAAGCGTGGTAAACAAATGGAAGAACCACTGATTTTTTTCCCCCCTACGTAATAAAAAGAGATGATAAAAAAACGAGACATTGCACAGTCGCCTAGTAAGAGAGGAGTATAACAAACATTTTCCTAACTACCTTTTGGGCACTTTGGAGTATCAGGCAGACTGGCCGATGTCAAGTATAACTGGCTGGTGAAATGCTGCTTCTGAGATTTTCTACATGGCGTTCACTTGCCATAATACTGCATGACACATTCTCACAGATTCACCAGTGTGCGTAGGACACAGGTTCCACACTCAGTCTCTTGATGCTTCGCTCAATGTTCAGCAGCCAAACACAAAACACACAACACACACACACACAAACTGGACTCTTTCCACTTTGCAAGATGAGCATTGCTAATCCCAGGTGAGGCGCTCCGTTGCAAAGAAAAGCAGACGAATGATAGTCTATGAGTCTCAATCAAGCATGGATCCCTGAGAAAGAGAAAAGACAACATCATATTAAAACATGGAAATCATTTATTTACATTATCAAGCAACAAATATGTTAACTTCTCACAAATTAAAAACAACCTAATTATACATTCTCCCTCATGTAGTTAAGCCTTTATGAGTTTCTTTCTGCTGTTGAGTATGCTGATAGCTGGGACCCATTGACTTGGTTTAATTACTAAAATATCTTCTTTGGAGAAAGAAACTCAAATTGGTCGATCAAATGAAGATTGAGTAAATGACCATTTTTATTTGAGTGAACTATCCTTAGAGTGAACACAAAGACATGGAGAATGGAAACATTTTTTTTTTACTACGATTTATTTTTGGTTAAAAAAAAAAGATACAAAAAAATGCAATTATCTGCTGTCGTATTTGATTAGTTGAACTTTTGGATGAACTTATCCAAAACTTTTGAATATTAGGCCATCTCTACTTGGCGCTTCATTGATTCAATCAAAAGTGGTTAGCTCAGATACATTAGTTTCCAGCGGATATTGACAGGTTTTCAACTTAGGATTTTGGTGAAACCCAAGTGGCAAATAAGACTCTCTCAAGCTGCGGTCACACTGGGCTTTTCTCCACATAAGACTTCCATTCATACGCACGCAAATGCGTCAGACCGAAAACGCAGGGTCATGCGTCAAGTTTTGCAGGTTGCTGCGATGCAAAGTTCAAGCTTGGTGAACTCTGATCTGCGAAATCGCAACACTTGACTGCGTGAGACCAACCTAGTATCAAAACATGACTTCAATGGACAGAACTTTAAAACATGGAGCAATTGCTTGCTTTTTTTAATGCCTGATAATCTTGTTCATTCCCGCCCCTTTTCGCAGAGCCGCACGACAGAATATCGCATTATCAAACTCTAGTGTGACCGCAGCTTTACTTGATTAAAAAACTTAAAAACTACTAATTTGATAGGTATGTGTGTATTTTTGTACAATTCAATAAAGCAAACACCTTAATTTGGTCATACAATGATTGCGCTCATTGAGTATAGGTGCCAATTAGGAGACATACAAGCAATTAGACAACATAAGCAATTGGATGAAATAGGTTTTATACTTCTACTAGAAGTGGCAAATTGCTGGCAAGCTAAAAAATGAGTAACCCTGGTCAGACCTGTTATCATCATAGTCCAGCTTAATGTTAGCTGAACCTTAGTGACAGAGTGACTACGTTTACATGGACATCAGTAATCTAATTATATGCCTTAATCTGAAAAAGACAGTAATATGATTAAGGCGTTTACATGAGTTGCTTTTTGAATGATCTCGTTTTACATGTTATAGCACATAATTGGTTAACACCATTGTCACCACGCTATCAACATTTTCTTTTGAGTTTCATTTACTTTTGGGTGTTTCATTTTTAATTTGTGGACTTTAACTGCAATTTGGCACTTTTACTTTCATTCAGGAACATTTCATGCATGCCCCCGTGATAAACGAGATATTGGAAGTCAGTCTGAACTGCTAGTGTTGTTTTCATGGAATTTGATACCGCACACCGTATGGGGAAAGAAAACCTTCGCATTTTGTGATGCAGGTGTCTGTGGTCCTTTACGGACTTGGTAGGTGCAGAAAATAGTGTCAAACAGAAATGTGTGTATTGACTATCCTGTATCCTGTAAAATGCTGAGAAAATCCTACACAATGATAATAGTTTGTTTGCAATGTTTACATGTCTGTACTGCACTTTAATAAAACTAAAATGCACTTCAATGGCAATAAAATCAGCATACTCCACATGTCTTAATCTGATTTCTGTTTAGTTCGATTATAAAACTTTAATCGGATTTAATAAATCAAAAACAGCTGTTTACATGGTAGACTCCTAATCAGAGTAGTCAATCATATTAAAATTGGATTATTGGTGTCCATAAACGTGCTCATTGAATCTCCACAAACTCATTATAAAGTCTAACCTTTTTAAAATTGACAAATTATATTTAAAACACCAAATCAACATATTAGAAGAAAATATTACAATCTTTCTAAAGATCATGACACTGAATACTAAACATGGTAAATATCAGCTTTTTCATCACAAAAATAAATTTAATATAACTTGAGTATACACACAGTTCGCCACAGTGGAATTTACTGCCAACTTATCCAGCATATGTTTTACGCAGCGGATGCCCTTCCAGCTGCAACCCAGTACTAGGAAAAAACACCTATACACTCTCATATGCACGCTCATACACTTAGGCCAATTTAGCATATTCAAATTCACCTATAGCACACATTTTTTGTCTGTAGGGAGAACTGGAGCACCCAGAGTAAACCCACACCAACTAGGGGAGAACATGCAAACTCCACACAGAAATGCCAACTGACCAAGCCGGGACTCAAACCAGTGACGTTGTTGCTGGGAGGCGACAGTGCTAACCACTGAGCCACCATGTCACCCATAAAAGAAACTGGTTATTAAATATATTGTTTAAAAAAAATCTGGTTTTAATTCAAATTTCATAGGAGGGCTGATAACTCGAGTCTCCTGTATGCATATATTAAGTGTGCATCTCCTATATCTACCATTCTTACCTTTTTCACATTTGCTCCCCTGCTTCTCCTGAGCAAAGTTAAGTCTGTTCTGCTCGACAGCAGTGCCGTTGGACTCTGGGCTGCTGCTGCGTGAAGGACTGCTCTCGCCATTCTGATAGGCCAAATCTAAATGTTGCTGAGCCAGTTTCAGGTGCCTGCGCAGGCGGTCAATGTCTCGCGATGACGACTCGTCACCAAAAGACTCCCGACCGGAGTCCAAGTTATACTCCGGTTTCATTCCCAAAGACAGCTTGTCTTTTTTCAGGGCAGTGTGGTACCCTGGCGGGGCAGTGGGCACCTGTCTGCATATGGGGGCACGTGGGCGCTGAACACTTTGATGGCGTGCACGTCGTCGAAAAGCATCACGAATTCCGCTGAGGCCCAAATGAAGTATCTCCAGCACCGTAAGAGACAAGCAGAGACAGCTCACGGCATACATAATCAGCAGAAAGATGGTTTTCTCTGTCGGACGTGACACAAAGCAGTCTACGGTGTGCGGGCAGGGACTGCGAGTGCACACGTATGACGGGGCGACCTCGAAACCATACAGGATATACTGGCCAAAGAGAAAGCCCACCTCGAAAATAATCCTCGACAGAAGCTGCAGGATGTACACCTTCATGAGCCCATCTCGCTTTATTCTCCGCCGGCCGTCATGTTTAACAGCAGACTTCTCTGGAGCCTTTTCTTTCTCAGGCACGATCTCTTCCATAATCATAGGATCTTCCTCACCGTTGTCTTCGGCCTCCTCATAATCCCGGTTGGCTCCGCGGTTGATCATTGGCATGCGTTTCCTGTTGACTGGCCTGTACTCCACATCATTTGACCGAGCGATCTTGTGCATAGCAAATCCCAAGTACATGATAGTGGGGGTTGTGATCAAAATGATCTGGAAAACCCAGAACCGGACATGAGAGAGTGGTGCAAATGCATCGTAGCAAACGTTCTCACAACCAGGTTGCTGGGTATTACACACAAATTTGCTCTGTTCATCGTAGTATATCGATTCTCCCCCCACAACAGTCAAAACAATGCGGAAGATGATGAATAACGTGAGCCATATCTTGCCCACGAAGGTGGAGTGGTTGGAGATTTCATCCAACAACCGCGTAAGAAAACTCCAGCTCATGGTGCTTCAAGAAGTACCACCGTCTCAGTCCTGCATAAAAAAAAAGATATTAATTATTAGTATTTGGAAACAACAACACATTATTTAAATTAGCACATTACATGACATGAAAATAGCCTACCTTCCTACTTATCGCCTGACAAGAGTAATATTAGCCCAGTGGAGGAACTAAGACGTCAATTTGTATGCAAAAACCCGAAAGAGAGTTAACATTTTAGCAGTTCCGGTTCCCTTGTCCCGAAGTCAATCGGTTTTCAAATGGGATTTCGATTAAATTTGATTCGTGGCTACCACTAACTCAACATATTTTCAGGTTTTTTTTCTACGACATAAAACACACAAGTTACATCCCACTCCTGGAACTTTTATTTATTTTTTTTTTTTAATCGGTTACACTTAAAAAAAAAAAAAAAGACATTTGCTACGAAGTTGCTAGATGGGACTACAGGTGATGTTGGACACATGCGTCATCAAGCTGATCTGGTCTGGAACGCAGTCCACTTGCGTTGGGCTTTTGGATAGGTCTTATTTAAATATTTTCATAAATAGTATTTTATAGTTTGTAGTATTTTTCTAATTGTGAATTTTTATTGTGTGCAGGTAATGCCTTCTCTTGTAAAGACCATCAAGACAGATTAACTTGATGATCATTTATTTTACATAAACAATATTATGGAGATACTGCTAACCAGTGCAGTGTTTCTCTCCTGCTCTCAGTAATGCAAATGTGTGAATAAGTTTGTACAAATACATTCTTACTGACTAATTTTTATGTGATCAACTGATTTTTAATAAACATTTAACTCTATATTATAATTTACACTACTGCTTTATTTATATCATATGTGGTATGGGCTGCTTTTCGCTGTAGTTTGTAACAAAAAAAAAAAAAAAAAGAAGAACCCTGAATGTTGTTCTCTATCCATATAGACTTGTCCCTCATGCCTCATTTCTGTCATCCTTTTACTAAAGGCAAGCAGGCTGTATGCACAGGCATGATAAACTTATGCGTGTCATCGAAATACTATGTAGGCACATTTGTACTTGCAGTGTTAAAACTTTTGCAACAACTGTAAAACAAAACTGTAATGTATTTCCCACATAAAAAACTACCAAAAAGGCATCTAGATCTATATACAGATGTGTTTTGCATATTTGTATTTGTTTATAATAAATAACATGGGTTATAATATAATAAATCGAGTGAGTAAAGCTGTCATATATTAGATTTTTAAAAATAAGCATTAAAAGTTGTCTGTAGCAGGGTGGTGTTGATGTCACAGACGACATCCCGAAGGCACTGTAGTCCGTTTATAGCCTAATGTTAGCTTTTTAATTCTTGCAATTGCATTTAAGATCAAAAAGTGCTAAAAGTTGTATTTTCGTGCGAGGATTATCCAGTTGGACAAAATGTGTAAGTGTAATAAACTGTGCTTAAACACAGAGCTTATTATTTGCAATCTTTGAAAAGCTTAATGGAAAATCCTGTAGAGATTTTATATTTTAGGGAACCAGTCTTATGCTAGCAGCCGATTAGCCTACAAGGTGGCGTCATAGTTCCTCCACTCTATTTTGATTCAATGATATAAAATAGGAGGGAAGGGAATTTTACAATTTCATGCATGTCTCTGCAAAATGTTGACAGTCTGTAACAGCTGCTTTATTGTCCCACATCAGGACAAATTGGAAGCCGAATTAGTCCACTAGATGGAGCTGAAAGGTAATTATTCTAACAGGCTTTCACAAAAGTCAGCATTTGCCAAGTTCTGTAGTTAAAAATCATCTCACTGTGTATAAAGGCATACCATTACATAAAATAAAATGATAAATTGCAAGAAAATAAATACATTTAAACAAGATTAAAACAAAAAAGGGGGATGATGGAGGGGGATATATTATTAACATGAGGAATTTACCACCTCTGTGTAATAAGACCCCTGGTGAATAACACCAACGTATTAAAACCGTCACATGCTCTTATTTTGAGCAAATGGACCCTAAGTTTTATGTATGAGACACAAAAATAAATTACTTTGCAACCCAAGGCCTAAAAAGTCAGTGTGGATTTGGCAGCTCTTAGAAAGTAAACTCGAAACAGGCAACCAGTTGAACATGGTTTGGTCACAAACTGGAGCCCAAGTGCTTAAAATGTAAAAAAAGGATGGGGTCATCCACAGGTCTAATCAAACTATGCAATCCTCACCGGCTCCAAATAAACAAGAGATGCTTTAGGCATGAATGTGACTTGATTTTTCACAAAGTTCAATGATTCTCTAGGGTTCCAACTATTTATTGACCACTGATTTCCCATGACTTTGATTACTGGATGTGGGTTTTCAAAACCTAGGGAATTTATGGATTTTACTTAAAGGGATAGTTCACCCACAAATGAAAATTCTGTCATGATTTCCTCACCCTTGACTTGTTCCAAACCAGTTTGAGATTTGTTGTTCTGTTAACATTCATAGTATGTGTTTTCTGAAAGTCAATGTTTACAGGTCTGAAACATCGTTCAAAACTTAAAAAAAAAAAAAAAACTTCAATTAGTTTGAAACAGGTAAAGGGTGATTAAATAATGACAATTTTATTTGTGTGAACTACCCCTTTAAATCACTCTGCTATACAAAAATCTTCAGTATAAACATTTAAGTGTGACAAATGTCAAATTCCAAATGCAAATTTCTAGCCAGTAAGTTAACTATGGGGAAAAACATGAACAAGGTCAAATTAGCATTTTAAATTACTTAACAGAACCACTTTTCCCAGAATTGTGTGAACCTGGATTCACACTACAGCCCAAGCCTAATAAAGCTCAAAGGAGCTGGTGGTGACGAGCTGCTAATGGCCACAACTTCTGACCAAGGGTTTATTAGAGACAGTTGCATGAAGTGAGGGCCGCGCTGTTGTGGTAAAAGAACAGGGACTGCAAGTGCCATTTAAAGTCATGAAATCACTGTAATTTGTAGTCTACAAAGGGCTATATCCGATTGCCAGAAGCAGTACAATTGTGTGGTTGCACCATTCCACAGCTGGTGCCCAGTTGGCCCTCAAATTACACATCAGCAAGGCTCCAAACAGTATCTAGTCAAAACATCTAGTTTAGAGATCTTATGAAGGTGTGATCTCAAAACAAAGTGCATACACCTTTACTATGCCACCTATGATTACTAGGAACCTAGTCAACCTACTTTAAAATGTAAAGTTTATATACATATAGAATACATTGAAAGCATACATAAGCAGAATAAAATTGATTTACAAAGTCATTATAAACTTTAGCAAAATCAACAACACTGGACTCCATTGTAATAATATCAACATTCCCACAGAGAAAAACAACTAATGGAACCACATAAATGGATCAACTATCCCCCAAATGTTGTCCAGAGATTGGGAGAGCCTAACCCTGAACTCCTCTTAAGTCAAGCAACGCCACACGGAGCAACCATTACCACGTCAGACATTAACTTCAGGAGAGAGGGAACAGAGTGGCTTTGTGGAGACATCTGAGAAAGTAGTTATCGTTCCAATCCAGATTCCTTCAGCTCTGGGGGAAGGACAGGAGACTGGAACTCACCCCAAAGCATCATCTTAGTTTTTTTTTTTTTGGTTTGATATGGAGTCGCACTTAATTTTGAAATTGCTAAATAAAAATAATGGTCATACATATGCTCTGTGCAATTGCTGGTAATGTTCATTTCTCCCATGTTTGCATTGTTTTCACTTATACATGCCAAGTAAAACTCACCAAACATGCGCTTATGAATAACATGCAGGCTAAGGGTGAGTTTTGTCTTTCAAAATGTTGACCAAATAACCACGGATTTATATATATATATATATATATATATATATATATATATATTCTGCCATGAAAGGACTAAAGTGAGAGTAAGCGTACAATATATTAAGTTTGTGTGGATTTATGCCTAAAAAGTAGGCAATATTATCATTGAGAAAAATTTATGTTGGTTTTTAAGCAATGAAAACATCAGTTACTTAAACTTTAACAATAAATTATATACACAGAGGCAGATTTTAGGCATGGGACGATAAACATTAAGGTATACCGCGGTTTGGAAAAGTCAATGTTTTAAAACCACCAAAATTTTCTGTAAAACTGTTCCTAAGGTAAGTGTGAGGTTTTTTTATTTAAATTTTCTTTTCTTTTTTTTTACGACAAAAGCATCACCAGCAGAAAAGATATCCAATGATGTTGTTTTAAATTGTAAAGAAATGCGTTTTTGAAACTAATAAAAGACAGCATGAGTCAATGATTCATTTGAATTATTTAGCCTGAAAGGTTTACAGCTCCAAAATATTATAAATCTTTCACAAAATAAAATATATTGTGTTCAAAGGGGAAAAAGTTTTAAAAGTAAACGGGGTTTGACTGCTAGACTGATCCATAATTCAAGGAGTAGGACAATTGCATGAATGAAATAATTACATCATTTTTTTTGTTAGACCCTCACCATAAAAAAAATGATTAAAAAAAACATGATAGAAAACGATGTTATCTATAGAATATTCTAGGTACTTATTTGGGGCCCCCATATTTCCTGGGGCCCTTAGCAGCTGCTTAAATCACTTATTTGTTAAATCCACAGCTGTATATATAGTAAAAAAAAGCAGATTTTTTTTTTACATAAAAAACTTAATATAAAAAGTCAAAAAGGTTTAAAACAGGTTTGGAGATAACGAATAATAAAATAAATAAAATCCAAAAACTTGCCCAATATTTAGTTTAAGTAAATAATACGGTCAAAATTTAAACATAATATAGTAATTAGGACTTTTTTGAGGGAAAAACTAAATATTTCGATAACCACTAAACTCCAATCAAGCACAACGTGTCGATGTGGATTGGTGGCGCGCTTTTACCTGCAGGGGTGATTCGCTCCTAGAAAAAAAGCCAACATTCCGAAGAGCAGCGTGGCTATTCAACGCCACTTACTTAACAGAGGAACCCGATAACGACTTGATTGCTAGCAAAGATGCGTTACATCACACAGTGAGGCAAGGTTTGTCTGTTATCCCTTCATATTACTAGAAAATGTACCATCCAGCTGCGCGAAGCGCACAAGTTTACTATTGTTCTCCGTCTGACGCAAGAAAGACGCGACAGTTCCTTATAAAACAACTTAAAGGCACTGCCTCAACTGTTACTGCGTAGTTGTGGAAATAAATACGCGTAAAACCTAACACTAAACATTCAACAAAGCAGAATATTTGTTATTTTTGGTGTATAAGCGCGAAATGTCACCAAAAAATCCGTTGGTCGCGTCCCTGTCGAATTCCAGTCAGTTGAAAAGCGGGAAAAAACATACCTCGATGAGTAGATTTCCACTCTTTTCCTCAGCTACGTCCTACGCAAGAGTTTGTTCTGGTGCGTTTAATATCACCACATTTCTCAGCTATCTTTGACGATGAAAGACACGCTCTTCATTAACCCATTCGGAGTCTGGCAGCATGTGGGTCGTTTTTCTCCTCCCCGTGCGCCGTCGGGGTTCATATAGCGAGAGGACAAAGAGAGGGTTTACCAATGTGCTGCTGCTCCTCCCGCCTCCGCTCCCCACCCCCTTTCTCAAAGCCAGAGTATTCAATCAAGCCTTATGATTTGTTTTATTCAAATATTGTCGTCACATCATTGATTTGCACCCCATAACATTATTATTTTGTTCACATTTATAATAAATAAAACACTCAGTTTTAACACTCAAATAGGTTATTTGTTCAACATCATTTATTATAAGTTTATTTTTAAAGATTAAATTTCTTTTAAAAATCATAGTTGTGAACGGGTAGACACTGTAATACTTTCAGTGGCTTATAGCCCACTTGTTTTTAAGGTCTGGATGAAATCTAAATGTACAATGTTTATTTTGCTAACGCGCATTATTCTTTAGCACGCATTACAATTTATCAAGCTAGTCCATGGAAATAAAGAATTGTTTTAATAATCTTTAATCAAAATGAGCCCTTCTATCCCCCTTAAAAAACATCCATATTGATAGATAGACACTGATGTAATACTTTCATGTTGTGTGGAAAAGACACACAATATATATTTGCTTATAAATTTAGTGTAGACACAGTGGCGCAGCGGGTAACACTGCCGCCTAACAGCAACAAGGTCGCTGGTTCAAGCCCCGGCTCGGTCAGTCGGCATTTCTTTGTGGAGTTTGCATGTTCTCCCCGTGTTCATGTGGGTTTCCCCCACAGTCCAAAGACATGTGTTGTAGGTGAATTGTGTTAGCTAAAATGTATGTGTGTATGTCCTGGTCCTCCAGGTTGGGGGTTTAGCTAGATGTTACATTGATCTAGATGTTAAAATCTAATGTTGCATTAGCTTTGGGCTATATGTTACAAAACTAGATGTTACGAAACACTAATATGGTGTGGTTAAATATCAGCTTCAATATAAAAATGTCACTGGGAGTAAGTAAGTTACATATAAGTGTGTTAAATTTACATGAAAATGGTTTATAGAGATAATTGTACACTCTAAAAAACAAAGCTCTAACAAAACCATGACTTTAAGTGCTTGGTTCTCCAGCGGTTCTTTGGGGTGGTTCAGGTGATAGGTGCATTGTATCACTAAAAGTGGTTCTTTTGCTTGTACTCAGAGGGGACGCACCATCTTGTATATAGTGTGTGCTATTCACCTTATTCTTCGCCGACGAGTGGGCGCAGTCATATAAATCTTTTTGACTTTTTGGCTCTTTCACTTCCATTCATTTTTAGACATTAAAAACTGCTCGTTTTGCTGTTTGATGTTGCAAACGGATATTTTCTTATTATATTCTTCTACTTGGTCTGTATAGTCATGCAAACATTTGTTTTGTAGAGCAAGTAGTTTGACCATTTTCTGTCATTTATTATTCCTAGTCATTTCTCCCATAGGCGACTGAATCGGAAGTTCTAAAACAATCGCATAAAACAGGCGCATTTCAGCATTTTAGAATAAGGTCAATAAAGCACCTTAACCACTCCACAGAACCACTGGAGAACCAATACAGGTTCAAATAGCTTCTATATAGCACTTAAATGGCGTGTATGCACACAGACTTTTAATTTCAGGTAATTGTCATCCCATACAAAATCACCCTGTTTAAGATCTGATTTCTTTAAAATAAAAACAGTAATCTTCTTTCTAATATAAAGTGGCTATCAGACCAAACATGAAGCACTGCATTAAATTATATTTTTCTGCGACATGTCTTCAGAATATGGAAATTAGTTTCTACCCAGTATTAAAAAAAAAATAAAATTCTGCGCTAGCCTGCTGCTAATGACAGCGCCTGCGTTTAAACGCTCTTTCGTCTCTTTTTACGCTTTAACAACCAAATGGATGATTAAGTCTATTTAACTGATTATATTTAAACTACATTACAACATCGATGTTGTAAAAGAAACCTTATGAAATTAAAAATAGTCACATAAAGCTCTCACCGGAAGTTCATCATTGGCTGAAAAACACTAGCTGTGCAAATAGCCTATTGGTTCTCCTTATGAGCCAAAGTGCAAGTGGGCAACTTGAGCTTAAAACATGCAGTGATTACATTGCATCTATTTTAAGTTACAAACTATTCCATTCCAACCTGAATAAAAAGTTTACATTTTACCAAAGTAAACACGAAGGCTCTAACCAACACCTATAGTAGGGGTGTAATCAGAAACAAATGTGATCAAATATTAGAGCCCGAAACATAAAATAGTTACAAATTGCCAAGAGAGTGTGTTAATTATTCACATTATTATGGACAATGTTTAGACAACTTGAGCATCTTTTGTGAGAAAGGAAGTTACAAGCTTGGAATGGCATCAGGGTGAGTAAATTATTACGTTATATATATATATATATATATATATATATATATTCATTCATTTTCTTGTCGGCTTAGTCCCTTTATTAATCCGGGGTCGCCACAGCTAAATAAAACCACCAACTTATCCAGCAAGTTTTTACGCAGCGGAAGCGCTTCCAGCCGCAACCCATTTCTGGGAAACATCCACACACACTCATACACTACGGACAATTTAACCTACCCAATTCACCTGTACCGCATGTCTTTGGACTGTGGGGGAAACTGGAGCACCCGGAGGAAACCCACGCAAAGGCAGGGAGAACATGCAAACTCCACACTGAAACGCCTGCTGAGCCGACGTTCGAACCAGCGACCCAGGGACCTTCTTGCTGTGAGGCGACAGTCACAGCACTACCTACTGCGCCACTGCCTCGCCAATATATATATATCAACTTTTTCTGTAATATTAGTTTGTGCAACTCATGCTTCAGTGAATCAAAATGATGTATTTATTTAATTTACATCTAACATATTAATAAAGTATATTTACATTTTTAGTGTTTTATGGGACAAAATTTTAGTGTATTCTGACCTGGTTAGCTATTTTGGCTTACTTCTGATCAAACCATGCATCTTAATTTGACTTTACTTTTAGGTTTTACCTATTTCATAATAGGTTAAAATAATTTAAGACCTATTTTATGAGAAATAAGTCTTGTGAACTCTTATGGTGCTCTAAATCTGCCGGTTTCAGACTGTTGAATAACTTTTTTTTCATAACTGATTGGCGCAATTATGCGTTCACAATGGTACGAATCGTTATAGAGGGGGTCAAATTGAAATCATTCATTCATTCATTTTCTTTTCGGCTTAGTCCTTTTATTAATCAGGGGTCACCACAGTGAAATGAACTGCCAACTTATCCAGCACATGTTTTACGCAGCAGATGCCCTTCCAGCTACAACCTAACACTGGGAGACACCCATACACTCTTGCATTCCTACACATACTCTATGGGCAAATTAGCTTATTCAATTCACCTGGACTGTATGTCTTTGGATTGTTGTGGAAAATGGAGCACCCGGAGCAAACCCACGCAAACACAGGAAGAACATGCAAACTCCACACAGAAATGCCAACTGATCCAGCCAGGGCTTGAACCAGCAACCTTCTTGCTGTGAGACGATTGTGCTACTCACTGCAGCACCGTGACGCCCCCCAAATGGATATCTATTATTTTAATTATTAACATTGTTATTTAAAATACGTATCGGAGTGAACTTTTTCTCAGGTTCATGTAGGGATCCCCCATACATCTTGTTTTGACATCCTTTAGGGGGATTAAACCTTAATTTGGGAATTTGGGGGGTCAATCCCCCCCAAACCCCTCTGCAAGTCGCATCCAGATAATTCAATTCAATTCAGCTTTATTTGTATAGCGCTTTTACAATGTAGATTGTGTCAAAGCAGCTTTACATAAATAACAACAACACTAAAAAGCACAAATTTGGTTGACCAATTATGTTTGGCCATTTTAGTTAATCATTGTTAATGTAAGGGTCTTTACATTATTGCGCGCGCGTGTGTGTGTGCCATGTTTCCCTTTTCCTGTAAAGTTTTTATAATTGATGTTATTTAGATTTTTGCTTCCTTTACTGTGGCTCAGACAATGAAAGAACATGACCTGATAGTCTTGTTTCATTGTGAAATATTTCTGTCAGATTGACACGTGGTGACGGGTTTAACGACAATAAGTCAGTCATGCTGACATTCATTTTCTCAAAGCATGTAGTGCACAAACAATACATTTATTGTCAAGCCACACAGACAAGTTTGTATTAAGCAATGCCTAAACTCCTATTCTGAGGGCTTTTAAAGACCATTTTTTAATATAAAAAAGTACTTGTCAGAAATAAAGGTACAAAAGCTGTCCCTGGGGAGTACCTTTACCACACCTGGGGATACACTTCTGTCCTTTTAAGGTACTAATATGCACCTTTAGGGTACAATATGAACTCTTTAGGTAATATACATTTAGGGCACCGTATGGATCCTTTATCTTTTGAAAACATACTGCCCAAGTGAAAGATTTTGGCAAAATCAAATCAAATCACTTTTATTGTCACTTCATCAGCAGCATGTGTGCTATGATGAGTGAAAAGCTTAGGTGCTGGCTCCAGACAGTACAAAATACAAACAGTGCAAAATACAACAACATACTTCCAAAAAACAGGACGATGAATAACTGGCAATGTTGACAGCAATATGTACATAGTTGTAGGCAGTATTGTTTTAAGTATTTAACTGACTTCTGAGAGTGGTATATTACAGGCATTGCATTCGGCTCATGAAAGGAAAAAGAAACTGTCAGAACATTTCATTAAAAGTACCCAACAGCTTTCCTTTTTCCTGCCAGGCATGGTGCTCGGAAGTTGTTGTTATTAAAGATTTTTCCTCCATTGCGTTTTCCGCAGGATGAGGCTTTAAGGGGGGGCTTCCTTTTCTCTGTTTGTTTTTAACAGGCCAACACATGAGCCGTGTTTAGTATGTGTGATTTGCTAGACATATACTGGCTTGTAATGTTCAAATAAAAGTTCATAAAGACCCAATGCTTCTAACTTTAGAGCCATTGCAAAGACTTTAGACAATCCAGCTGTAGCTTCTGGCAAAATCAAC